GTTTTCCTGGTCGATTCCCGAACCCGTATGTTCCGTGGATCCGATACGTTTGCATGTCGAACGGATCGTGAGCAAATCGACCATGATGGGAAACTATCGTTCGTTCTCCCGCTTGCTCCCGGCTTGCTTCCCGGGCTGCTTTACGCTCGTCGAACAGCACCGACCGCCGAGGCTTGTCCCCCTGTCGCGTGACGTGCAGCAACAGGACAACAAAAGATCTACTCGAGCTCGGATGTGATACGGCTGGTTGAGCAGCAGTATATACGGTCGGGCATCTACCTAACGAATGGGGGCGCGATCCATTGACACAATGCTCCGGAGAGACTCCCGGCGAATGCCAACACCTCGGTGTCCCTCCACGGGCCGACGTTCAATCGGCAGCAACAGAATAATAATGACGAGCGTTAATTTCGCGAGAGGAAAGAGGTGCTCTAAGGCGCTTCCCGCTCGGAATGAATACGGGGTGGTCGAAAGCCCGGGTACACGGCTGCGGTCAGTTTAGCGGATTCGAAGTGTCTGTTTATTAAATTCGCGTTCGGAGACACTCCCTCCCACGTCGGCTCCGCTACCGACGACGCCTGTGCGGCGGACACGCTCAAAAGTGCAACGACCGCCGCCCAGACCTCCTATCTATCGTTTATTCATCAGCCCATCTATTCATTCATCGGAACTCACGTAATTCCTCCATTGGAACATTGTTCGACAAAATTTAACATGACGAACGACCTGCGACGAATACCGATTCGAAGGAGCGACCCGAGCCGGTCGTTCGCGGCAGCGACATCAGAAAAAAAAACTATTTGCTCAATAATGTCTCCGTTTCGTTCCCGGCAAAACAGTTGTCGACGGCGGCGCGGCGTCGTCGCCAGCGCCGCTGAAACGGCAGGAAGGGAGCTAGAAAGAAGGAAGAATCAAGAAAACGAATCGACCCGCTACAGCGGCGGCGGCGGCGGTGCCGACAACGACGACAAACGAAGAACCGACCGAGCCGTCATGCGTGGAAAAAAAGAGAGAATTCACCAGAGAATCTTCCGGCCACGCAATGTCCTTACTACGCAAATACGGGATACCGCTACCATCCGTCGAGTCTAGAATAGCTGCAGTATTCATCCTTTTCCCCTCCCGTGTCGCTTATTGACACTCACTGCTGAGGACGTCATCGCTCCGCGTGGAGTGTTTCGGGTAGAGAATGGGAGTAATTCGAGGAGACACTACCCGATCGTTGAAGAAGTCATGAGAGACTCGCCAAAGTCCCCTAAGCGAGTTTTGTGGTATGATGATCCGAGACCGGATTCGGGGCGATCGGAATGTTACACCCTCTGAGCTGATACGATGATTCTCGGAATGGCTCAGAAAGGACGCCATCCATGCCGTGGAACGAACCTGCTAGAGCTCGAAGTGCTATCGAATGGTGGTCTATTTTGTTGTGGGTGACCTTGCTCGCAGAGGTCCGTCAAAGAGCGAAAGGGTTGTGTTGAGTCCGTCTGCGGCAAAAATAGCGGGACTGCTATTCAGGAAGTTCATCCTAAAAGTAGTCTGATGACCTCGATCCCCGCTTCATTTTCGCGAAAACAAGGACTCCCTGTCGAGACGCATCGATTCGCCATTTGTCCGACTTGACAAATGTGAGTGTTGTCACAGACTCTCTGCTCAGGGACTTGAATACCTATCCAACGTGGAATATCACTCAGTCATCTATGTGTGGATTCATGAAATATGAGTTCCATTGGGCGCGTGACTAGTTAGGGGGAGGCACCTCGAAGATTTAGCGCTCCATTCGGTTCTGGACTCATTTCTCCACCGCATTGAAATATGCTTTGGAAACCTGCCAACCTGACAACTTCTCTCGATCATTCCCGAGAGGGGAAACGGTCGGGATGGCGGTCTTCCCGCCCATGGCACCACGGCGAACGTGTAGACGGGTTTTAGAATTCATTGAAGCATTTCTCCAAGGCTTGGAAGGATCCTCGGAGCGGCTATTTGTTGGGAGGGCTCCTCTACTTTCTGCTCCCTCCATCACCTCTAAATTTGTCGGAATTCCTTCATTCGCGCCAAAAGCGAACAGCGCGCTTTCTAGCCTCAACGAATGACGCTCCTCGCGCAAACTATTTCTCTTCTGTTTTCACGAGAGCCTCTCCGTCGAATGGTATACTTTCCCCACCGAGACTTGTCTGTATGGAGCGTTCCTTCGTCAGTCAGTCACTCGGCCCTTTCGTCCGCCGGTGTGGGGCATATGATGGCTCCTTCACAAAACTTTCGCTTTGGAAAACCCTTCGTGTGGGGGCGTACCGCGCGGCGCACTCCGCCGGCATCCGGTTGCGACGCAGCAGCCATGGACTTGGCAATTGTTGTCCTCAGCGGAATTGGCTGTTGTTAGCGGGGGTTGTCTGAGGCCGTAAAAATTCGCTTACGTGCACGAGGGAATTCCGGAGCTCGCTCTGAACTCGGCGGGCGGCTCCAAGCCCGCTCGTGATGAGTTATCGGTCGACTCGGAATTGCAGATCCGATGCGGGCGGTGACGGGTTGCTGAAAGGATTCAGACAGAGGATGATTCCATGGGTTGTTCGAGTTTCGGGAAGTTCACTCTTCTGATAGTTTCGTTCAATGCATACGGAATTTCCGAAATTTGTTCGCTGAGGCGTTTCACATCAAAGTGTACGCCGGAGCGTGCGGAGGTTCCGACGGCAGGGGGCAGTCAAAACGGTGAGCGCCGCTATTTTGATGAGCCTGGCTAAAGTTTCCAAAGTTTTTACTGGTCACGCCTGACTGACCTTGGCGAACTCGTTAAGGATCTCGATTAGAATAACGAGCTAAAAAGCGTCGCCTGAATTCCCACTCAAGGTCGACGCTTAAAGCCCCTAGGCTAAGAGCTCAGTCTCTGATGGGGCGGGTGGTTGCTCAGCCCGGTGATCAGCGGGTCAGTAAAAGGATTGTCCTTCGTTTAGTCGGCTCGTTCTTCATTCAGGAACAAGGAGAACAGTGGCGGCCGCGGTATCCTGGCGGAAAATCCACTCGTGTTCTTTGTTTCTCCGTCAAGGCCGTTGGCATGAGCCCACTGACGTCTATGATAGTCTGGCTTCCCTATGACGAATTTCCGACGATTCTCTCCTCGATTCTTCAGGGCTCAATCTTTCTGATCCTTCCCGCCTGATGGTACGAGAGATCAGTCCTCTCGGCATCAGGAGCCATCCGTCAGCTCAGCGAGTGCGTCGGAAAGCAGGGGGAACTACGAGAGTGGACGTAACGGGATGCTTCCGCGAAAGGAAATGGGGGCGGGAAAAAATCGAGCTGCGATGCCGGACACAAAAACAGACATATGCAAAACTCCGTGTACGTTGTCATCATTTTCTGGCTGCTGTTGCTCATGTATCTCATGGACGCGTATGTAGAACAAGATGCGACTCAGACAGGAGCGAGGTTGTGTATCCGTGGATTCGAAAAGGATTTCTCCGCCGACAAGACGTACGACCGCACCTGCTCCGGAATGTTTTCTCTCTCTCCCGTTTCTCGTTCGGGGATAACGAGCTTCTCATTGAGAAAAAACACAGCGGAACTCTGCGCCGAAATCCCACGATGTTTACGCGAGGTATGAAGACATGTTTAGAGAGTTCTGTTTATGGTGAGCCCTCATGGAAACTGTGGTTCCTTGTCTGCCCTGCATCCTTCCACAGGCTAGTCCCCTTGCTGAAAAAGATTTGCAGCCCAATTTAGTAATTGATGGAGGGCCATACGAACCTGAGCTCACCTTTTCCGGAACAACACTCGTCTCGGAGGAGCCGCGACACGCCATTTTGGGAAACAAATAATTGTCGAATGGCGCTTCTTGTCGGAATCAATTCCATCCATCTAGTGCTTCGGACCGAGAACGGTCGTTGAAAGCCATCTGTTGGACATTGCGGAGAAACTAAACGGATCTTCAGAACCGCGAAGAAACGAATCAGTTTGCGGCCCTGCGGAGACGTTCCCCTCCGACGGGCTCGGTGAGCCAAAAGAGCATCAATGGGTTCATTGAATTGGGGGCGATTCTTAAGGATTCGAGCTACTCCGCTGTTCGGCCAAGTCATTGGATTAAGGACGTGTCCAGCGGCAATCGAAAGTTGTTCCGTCTGGGTCGGGGACCCCAATAGTCGATTGTTCGTTGGAAAAGGCACATCGATACCGCCAGGCGGAACGCGGAACTCTGGTGAAAGCCAGAGAAGAAACAAATATTTGTCTTTTTTTCCTGGAGATTCCGATCGCGACGAAGAGGGTCGATAACATTCTGCTTTCGACGGCCTGTGCTAGATTCCGTATGATCTTGTTTTTTGATCTCCGGGAAAAGCTGATACTTCCTAAACCCCAGTGTTGGGGACTACTTCGGTAGGATTTCGCTCCCGCCGATTTTTTTCCCCCGAACAATCAGCCGAGTAAACAGTCTTCATCGACATCCGCACCGGCGCCGTCGAGGATTGAACGACGATCCCGTGCCGTTTCCCGAGTCCCTTCTGGAAGACGATTCGACTTGAGCTTATTTTGTTTTCTTCATTCTTCACCTCAAATCGTCGCGATACCGAGAAAACGCAGTAATGTTGGGTGCTTTGGAAGTGGTCCACAGATCACGACTTTCCCTTCTCAAGTCGCTAAGCGTGCGGACATGAGCAAAAGAAGCTCCAAATCTGAGCCTTTCAAGGGGAATTCTTTCGTTCCTCATTCAAATAATCATTGAGGAAGTCCGGGCTTCCGTTCTTCCCGATCGTTTTCTGTGTGAATACGGTTCCGAAAACGTGTTATTCATTATGCTGCCGTCGAAAATCTGTGCCGACCGAAGCACTTTTATCGTATGAGTTCATTTTGTCGGAACCGGGGTCGACTCGAGGTCGAACGGCGTTGTTCGTGATAGTAGAAGATAGAACTCACGAGACAGCGACGCCGATCTGAAGCAATTCACTCAGTCAGTCCTAGATGCCTTCTGATTTTTATGACATCTCGAAGCTGACATACCTACTTCCTTGTCCTTACAGCTGGTTCTTCGGGCCTATGTCCCGTCAGGAGGCGATAGAGCTGCTACAGCGTGAAACGGATCCAGGAGTCTTCCTGGTGCGGAATTCGAACACCATCCAAGGAGACCTGGTTCTCTGCGTCAGGTTAGTCGATGTCGCTCGGAGAAACATTCCGACCGGATACGAACACTCCATCCATCATCGTTCATCCCTCGCCATCTGCTTTGATGCGATGAGGAGGCGATGAGCGAGATAGTAGAGAAAGTCACTTCGGAACGACGTCAGGGATTGTTGCATTGAGGATGGCGAGCGACTATTATTATAGGAAAGATACGATTCCACTTTCTTCCGCAGAGAGGAAACCCGCGTGTCGCATTACATTATCCACAAGGTTGCGCAGGGAGCTCAGACGAGATTTAAAATCGGAGAGCAGATGTTTCCCGACATGCCAAACCTCCTCCAGTTCTACAAGAATCATTTCCTCGACACAGCGCCCTTAGTGCGTCCAGCGTCGAAACCCGTAGAACGAGTCAGGGCTCGCTTCGACTTCAACGGCAGCGTAAGTAGCTATTCCACAGTCTCGAGTGTTCGGAACCGTAAAATGATCCGGCTTGCTCAACATGCATCGAGTAGAATGAGCGTACCAAGCATAATCCTTTCGCCGCAATTCTGAGCAACTCTCTCCAATTGTTCAGGGAGACACGGATGACCTGCCTTTCCGGAAAGGCGAAATACTCACGATCATCTCGAAAGACGAGGATCAGTGGTGGACAGCGAGGAATTCCCTGGGTCAGACGGGTCAGATACCGGTCAATTATATCGAGAAGGTGAGTGCGATCATCCTGGGATCAGTAGGGAACTGATGTGCGAGAGCCAGGCTCAAATCCGAGCGGGACTGGACAAGGAATCGGCAGGGCGAAAGAGAGAGATTCGAGGGCCATATGAGAGGACGCGACGGCGCGGTGGCGGTGCATCGACCGATTCGACGAGCGATCGGTGGATTGATTTTTTCACCACTATGAAAGTTTCGCTGACGAACACAGAAAACTTTCTGATTTCTGACCTCTGAACTCTATCTGAACCTTCTCTTTTCCCTCTTTCAGCTCCGACTCTGAACCTTTTCCTCTCTATTCCCGTAATTCAATGCCTTAACGTCGCTCTCATAACATTCTTGCTCTGAGTGGTTGTGGATCTGGTCTCGCGAATAAGATAATTTCCGATCGAGGGGATTCGACAACTTGCTAATGACAGCCTCGTTTAGGATTTAATTTTCTTCCTGTGGACCCTTCGGTGGTGTCTCCCCCAGCGATCTTTCCGTTTTGGCTCCGGCTTCCGAATGAGCTCTCTGAGCCGGGTCGTAGAGGGATGGAAATCTGTCTGGGAGCGATCTCTATTCCTCTCCAGCGCTTTCAAGCCTTCTGAGTTTCGCGAGCAGCCGCAAGCGAAGCTCAATTTACCGCCAGCTGCTGCCCGACCGTCCGGGGTCACCCTCGTACGCGGTATTGAATGCAGGGAGTTATTCCTTGGCTTAGATTTCCGAGCTAAATGTCCGCGTGGAGGATTTTCCACCGCAACGTTCCTCCTTCGCGTGTGAATTCCGCGAATGACATGGCCTAACTAGATTCGGTGATTTCGCATAGCGAACTTTCCCTCCAGTCCCGTAACCTATTGATTTCGTTTCCCGAGGATTTTCCAAATCCCTTGCGGGAGTTCCGTTCGCTCTGGGGAGGTTCGGAAATTGCGTAAACTTCTCGCCGAGCGCCTTGAGTTGTGATAATGGTTTCTGCGTCGATAACCCAGCGAGAGTGCTTCCGAGAAATAACTTCTCCGACTTCCCAGCACTGCCGTTCCGCCCGGAGTTTTGGTGTTTCGATAACATGTATGAACTCTTCCCTCGTGTCCCTAATCGACTAAGTTGACGACAATTTCTGCCACAGCTGGAAGACGCCAACAGCACGCCGCTTCCACAATCTATGGTGGGATCAGTGGGCGGCGTCGCCAACAATGGCGGGGTTGTCCACCTGCCACCTCCAACAACGAACCCTCCCGCACCCCCACAACCGCAATGCAACACAAACGGAACTCAGCCACCGTCAAACGGAACCTCTAGTCAGATCCGCTACACCACGCCACAGTTGGGACCCGCAGCAACGGGCAATAACGGAGCTCTCAACGGAGGCGCGCTCGGCCAACGAAATAGCCAAGAAAGAAAACTGCCAGCCAAGGCTCGTGTCAAACAGGCTCGGGTGCCGAACGCCTATGACAAAACAGCCCTGCGTCTCGACGTGAGTACGATCCTATCTCAGAGTCAGTCCCTCAATGCCTTGTCATTTGCTGGGAAATCTTCCAGAGCACCTATCATTGAGCATGATGCATGTCGGAGGGTCCGACGTTGGGTGGCGAGCACACCCCCTCCCTTTGCCCAACTGTCTCGGACTCTGTCCAGCACTTTCGAGTATTCAACGATTGCGTTCGCCTGCTGCGGAAGATATACTCCGTGGGCTCGCCGGACGAATGCTTTCCGCTCGGTCGGAGATGTGCGCGAAGCCGCGCTCCGGCATCGAAACAGCTTACGATTCCAGGCATTCGCCTGGCACGCTGAGGCTGACATGCGGAGATTACTGGATCTCTCCGGAAAGTCACCCTGTCCCGCTCTCGAAGCGAGGGAGTGCTCCGAAGGAGAAGAAAGCACCCCGGTTGCCTCAGTGCTTTATTTTTTGCCCCGATGCAAATCCTTGCACTTGGAGTTCTTATCGACTGACGAAAGTATCTCAAGCACTGTATGGGGCTATTCACGGATACTTCGAACCATTGGGTTGTTTTCCTCCTTTGGCAGGAGCATCTCATTGTCAGATTCGTTCGCGCTTACTGATTTTGACTGGGCCTCATATCCTTATTCACAATATTGTGTCTATTCGGATTGTAATCTTCGTGAGTCGAATCCAGCTACGGCGTTGCATTCGTTTCCCTGACGTTTCGGATTCCAGGCGTGTAGCTGCATCTGTTAGGGGTTCATCTGAATAATGCAGTCCTTTTTTATGTTGTTCCAGGTTGGAGATATCATTCTGGTGACTGCGATGCACAAAAACGGACAATGGGAGGGTGAACTCCGCGGAAAAACTGGGCATTTCCCTTTCACGCACGTCGAGTTCCTCGACTCGGGGGACGAGGAAGATGAAGCGTAATCAGGCGCCTGCGAGGAAACACCAGAGGAGAATGAATGTTTTCGAAGTAGAACTACAGAAAATAATTTGCCTTCCCTGGGAGGGCACACAGTCAACGAAATAATTTCGATAGAGTCACCGTGTTGCTACAGGAGGCAAACGACGAAACAAACAAGAATCGAGCTAAGCGTACATGCGATACAGAACAGCACGGGGCGCTCAAGTATCTTGAAAGCACATGCGATTTTTGTGAAATGAGTCGGACCGAGGCAGACTCGATAGGGACAGACAAGAGGTAAAGGGGAGCAGAGAGGGGGCGGAGACTCCTCCGTCGTGCTTCCCCTCCATCAAGAAGGTGAACACGAGACCGCTTCAAGTAGTGAATTTACCCTAGTTGACAACTTGACCTGTGACATGCAGAGAATTGCGGAATGATTCCCTGACGATGGCAGATGAGGAGAAATGTAGTTCAAATTTCCGACGGAAGCTGTCCATCGATTCATTGTTCTAGCGGAGCGATTCCTCTGAAGAATTTGTGTATAGCATTACTGTGAATAAAACCAATACATACCGATAAATACGATAGGTGTCTCTGTAATTCCTCCGACTTCTTCATCATTACTATTGAGGATTTAGAACGTTTATGAGTGCCGCGAAACTTTGAATGATTGGTCCCTTCGAGTGTGACGTCTCGAGTGGAGTCGGGAGGAATTCCCGTATCCTCAATGAGAGCGAATATCGAGAGGTGGGCGCAATCATTCGTGAAAGCGATCGGCGGAACCCAAGCAGGCGGTGCACGTTTCTACACGCGAATAGATAGATAGAGATTTACTTTATTGTAAAATAAACTACGGTGTATTTAAATGAACAGACAGAACCCTCTTCTTTCGGAAGCGCCTGCTTGCGCGGAGCGACTCAATGCGCTCCCCGTATGTTTTCCATATGATTGCGATGATGTCAAGATGGAAACGACTTCGCTGTCATCGTTTAACGCATCTGTTTGAATGGCGGAGTATGATATAGCAGTCGAGAAGTCGGGTATCCGCAGAGGACCGAAAGTATGACGCGGGAAAAAAACGCGCAAACGCTGAGCCCAACATCATTCCGTTCAGTCTCTCGCGCTGCCCGGTCCGTTGAATGCAAAAACGTTTTGCGAGACCTTAGCACGGACAGTCTGGAATGCGGCCTCTGAGGAACCAACTACGCCTTGCTGGAGTGAGATAAGTAGCCTCGCCGAAGGCCCCTTCCTCTGCGCTGCACTCCTCCCTCGGCCCAGTGCACCGACTGTTGATAACGTATTGGTAGCTTGATATAGCGCGGCACCGCGCTTGGGAGCCTCTGCCGACGAGCAGAGAGAACCTGCTGCTAATTTTCAAGCATTAATTTCAAAACTTCGCATCCGAAAACTTTCAGAGTCGCGGGATTCAAGAATTGTGCGCGCTCTCCGCCCGAGGGGGTTCGCATGCATTGCGAGAGAGACCGATAACATGGAATTACTCGGGAGTCGGCGAGTCAGGAGCGAGTCACGGAACTGGCATGCGGAGAGGTTTCGCAATTTCTCCCGCAGCGCGAAAAAGCGCGTGGCACAGCGACCGAGGTCGGGCGCCCCGTCCCGAAGATTCCAGCTAGGGCAGTCTGTTGCGCACTTTCCGAATTTCACCGAGATTGACAGGGCTGTACCCGTGCTCTGCAGCCTCCTACCTAATTAAAGATCTGCTCCGGCAACTCTCTGAGGTACTTGGCCGCTCTCATTCACCCCGATCGCCTGACTTTCGCTGCTCGAGATAAGAAGTAAAAACCCACTTTGTATAATGGCGGAATGAGATTTCGCCTCCGGGCACGGTCATCTGAACTGACACGCACGAGACTTCGAAGAGAATGTCGAAGCAAGGAAAATACCAGCCGAGCTTGCAGAGTGAATTTCGGGTGATGGCACGAAGTCCAGCCTCGCTCCATCAGGGCTCATCTCAGTTTTCCTTGAGGATCGGATCTTCCTCAGGGCACGGGTTGTGCGGAAATCGCTCTCCTTCCTCGCGCTCGGTCTACCTCGCGCGCCTCCATGTACCTATATTCGATCTCTATCGCGGAAATCAGGCCGAGTTAGGGAGACATCACCCTTCATCCCTCATTGTGAGAGGCCTTATCAGGAGCAACGATGACGGTTCTGTCCGTTCCCTCTGGTGCTGGGTTATTCGTGATGGAGGGATAGGAGGTTCCGGTACTGCTAGCGGTAGCTCGCCTCGGGTGGCATCCGGTGCGAAGTTCACTTCACCTTAGCACCATCAGCCAGGATTGATTTGACCCGTCAGTCCGAGAATGGATCTAAAGAGCTGATTGTCAGAGCTGATCCGGCGAGCCTTGCCCTGTAGGATCGCCTGGAACGACGGCACATACCCACGAGCATAGTCTGACTTGTTCGCCAGTCGAAGCGGACTCGACTGAAGAGCTGACGAGGCTGCTGATGTGGATCGGGCAATAAAACCACCCAAAAACCCAATCATGGTCGATGTTCTACTCGCCGACTTCGAATGATACTCTCTTGCTTGGTTGGGAACTCGACTGCATTCTCGTTCACAGGAGATGAAGTTGGATTCGTTTCAACCGGAGTGCTTCCCTCGATCCGTAGAGCCGAAGTACTCAAGACTTCTCTCCTCGCGTGCAGGAGTGTCAAAACAGTTCCTCTCGAATACGAACGCTACTGTCGGTACTCCCGGGATTTGCGTTCGCAGGCAGATATCAGGATATCAGGAAAGATCATCGATAGACTCTCGACCCGTCGCGATGAATCTGCCTTCCCGGACACACGGTGAAGGCTCCTCGATAAACCTGAGGACTCGCGCATCACGTCGGAGAGGAGCAGAGATCATCATCGTCAGCGGAACATTCGTCTGCAACCGCTCCCGCTCTCCTGAGCGGAATAGGCTCTCTGGTACTTTATTAGCTCGCGGTCGTAAGCATTCGTTCCCTTCCGTCGCTAAGCCGTGAGGGTTCAGAGTGTGAAGTTCCACCCTCCGCAGAAAAGCACTCTCTGCGGTTGTTCGTTCTCGGAAAAATCGCATGTCTTGTCTCTGACCAGCTGAGCCCTCTGAGTTGACAGCTGGTGAACGGCAGTGAGGGGCCGTATACTCCAGGCTCATCTCGACCCTATCCGATTTTTGCCATGGGCAGTTCAGACTCGAAGCTGAACTTCCGGAAGGCCGTGATTCAGTTGACTACACGTAATCAGGTATGTAGCTCATGCAGAGCCCGCTGTTTTTCTGGCGTATTTTGAGACTGCTGAAACGTCGGAAACAAGACGGACTGGCTCCCCATGCACTAGAGTTAGAGACTCGTGATCGGAGATGAATATCGCTCTTTGCAGCCCATCGACGTGAAAGATGAGCTGTTCTGGGAGCAGCTCTGGACCGAGAGCGTCGACTCCGTGCAAGATATATTCGCCCTTATGCCAGCCGGTGAGGTACGTACGGACATCAACTAGTTCGAACTCCTTTGTGATCGAGAAAATCGGATCTATCACGCTTTTCCAACACCGCCACTGTAGGTTCGAGCTCTCCGTGACGACGCACCCACGAACCTCGCGACACTGTGCTATAAAGCAGTGGAAAAATTGGCTCGCGCAGCGGACACTCTGCTCCAGGTAGACAGTCCTCGCGAACAACAGATAGGTGAGAGGGGAATTCGGTTCCCGAATGTTTTGTGGCTTTTTTGATCTCTTTTTGTTGGAGCCCCTAGCTCTTCGACCCGGGAAAAGTGCTCGAGCTGAGCATGAATCTGTCAGGTCGGTCGACTCAATAGCTGAAGTTCTCTGACTCCCCAGTTCTCAACTGTGTGCGACTTCTGACGAGGCTGGTGCCTTACATCTTCGAAGATCCTGATTGGAGAGGATTTTTCTGGAGTTCACTACCTGGAAGCTCCTCGATTCAGGGTGGGGGACAAGGCGATGGAGAGAATGAGAGCCCTTCGTTGGCTCATACGATGCTGACTTCTCTCTGTGTAAGTATAGAATAGATTCTGTTGTGCCGATGATTGTCTCCTCGATCCAATGATCCCGAGGGGAGCGATTGGCGCAGGGGCGATCCGACTCCGGGGCGACGACCGAAATGGAATGGAACGTGCTGCAATTTTCAGGATTTGTTATTCTGCCCGGACTTCACTGTGCATTCCGCTCGACCTTCGGGAACTTCACCCGATGGTCCGGATGAAATCACGGATTCTTGTGAGCTGATTTGGGAAGCAGGGGTGGGATGTGCAGCTTCTCCGCCACGAAGTGCTCGTCACGATCATAATCGGACTGAGGTGAGTTCACATCGAATCGATCGATCGATGAGGAATTGTCATGAGCGAAACCGCCGAATTAACAGAATTTTCGGCACAGATCTTGAAACTTCTGCTGACGCTGTTCTCGAATACGATGTATCACCCGGCCAACGACAAAACATCGTGAGTAACCGCGATCAGATTGATGGACTAATTTGCTACAAGCTCAAATCTCGGATCTGCCGAAATAAGGGTCACGAATTTTGAGTGAACTCTTTCTCACAATTGACAGGAATCGTTGGCTGGATCTTTTCACATCGGCGGACAATAGACACGCCTTGCCGCTCTTCACATCTCTGTTGAACACCGTTTGTGGTTTCGATCCGTACTCTTCACTTGTGCCGCTGAATCACCTAATATTCGAAGATCATCGAGAACCGTTGGTTGAAGTTTGTCTGCAGCTGTTGATCGGTAAGTAGCTTTGGCGATTCCGGAGTCGAGTGTCTATGAAAAATGCAATGAATTCGGATTCGTTCACGAGGCGATCTCATTCACGGTCATCACGCGAAATTCCGCATTGCAGTGGCTTTGGATCATGAGGGAACGAACAACCTCTTCGTGAATTATCTATCCAGGATTCACCGCGACCATGATTTGGAGTTTGTCCTGAAAGGTTTCACCAGGCTCCTGAATAACCCTCTACAATCAACGTATCTGCCATCCAAGAAGGTGATTCAATTTCTCGATAACAACCCCCTCATCCTGGGAATAAGGGAGCGGGGGACGCCCCGAAAAGTCATATAGATAAACTGACCACTCTCCCGGCCGACAGATTCAGTTCCATCAAGAACTACTAGTGCTCTTCTGGAAAACTTGCGACCACAATCGGAAATTTTTGTTCTTCGTGTTGAAAAGCAGCGAGGTATTGAATATCTTGGTGCCAACACTCTATCATCTGAACGAAGCGCGAGCCGACCCCTGTGAGTGCCTCGGCCTCTGAAGTTCCGGAGAAGATTTATTTCTTCGCTCTCAGAGGTTATGCTGAGGATTCGTACGATTTTTTCAGCCCGTGTCGGACTGGTACACATCGGAGTGTTCATTCTGCTGCTACTCTCAGGCGAACGGAACTTCGGGGTCCGACTGAACAAACCTTATGCTGCATCGGTCTCCATGGATGTTCCGGTTTTTAGTGGAACACATGCCGACCTCCTCGTCCTTGTGTTTCACAGGTGAGAATAGTCAGAGGAGTCATCTAGCATCACGGGTAATGTGGTAATACTAGGGACAAAATACACGTACGGACTTGAAATACATGCGTAAGCGATTGACATCGAGTCATGATATTTCGTATTCCTTTGTGCAGGATGATAACCACCGGGCATGCTAGGCTACAGCCTCTCTTCGACTGCCTTCTAACAATCATTGTGAATGGTTAGTCTAATGCAACGTTCAGAAGTTCCGTATAACAAACTCATGAGTCAGCAAGCTCTCAGCTCGGTTACCGACTCGCATTCTCATTTCGCAGTGTCTCCCTACTTAAAATCGCTGTCGATGGTCGCATCCACGAAACTCTTGCATCTGCTCGAGGCCTTCTCGACACCATGGTTCCTGTACTCGAATCCGAACAACCACCATCTTGTGTTTTTCCTCCTTGAAATATTCAACAACATCATACAGTACCAATTCGACGGTGGGTCGATCCGTCGGAATTCAGCGATCGGGCTCGAATCCTCTTCCCCCTCAGATTCCTGAGCCCTTATGTATGTTTACGCCCCCGGGAGTCTGAGGAATTTCGCTACTTTCTCCCTTCACAGGGAACTCGAATCTGGTCTATACCATCATACGAAAACGGAACATATTCCATCTCCTGGCAAATCTACCCACCGACGGTGGGACGATTCAGAAGAGCGTCGCGACTGGTTCAAAACCAAGCCTGAGCAAACAGGACTCACAGATGCTGTCGGATCAACGAGTCACCGGGGAAGAATCACACATCGTAACATTGGCTGCAACGCCAAGTTAGTTTCTTCGAGAGGACATCATCAGGTTATAAGTCGAATACACGCGGGGTCGATCTCGAGCAATGAGTCCGTTGCCTCCTGCAGGAATCGATAAGATGACGGAGAAGGAAGAAGCTCACAAAATGAGCATTGACATGGAGGGCTCCGCGGAAGGTTCGGAAAGCAAAGAAACCCAGGGGAGCGACGAAACCGAGGAGAGCGAGGAGAAACAAAAAGAGCGCGCGGTTAAAAAACAGAACTCAGTGTCTAGTCAATCATCCAGTCGCGATCAATCAGAGTGGCGACCGACACCCGACTGGGTCATAAGTTGGAAGCAGAAGCTACCTTTGCAAACAATCATGCGACTTCTCCAAGTCCTCGTTCCCCAAGTTGAGAAAATCTGCATCGATAAGTGAGTTGTGAGATTTTACCGACCTCGTTTCTCCAAGCCGCCTGATGCTAATGTCTGAGCTGGCTCCAGGCTCTCAGTCGGGGCTTCGAGGGGATGTGCTCCCTCTCTCGCGAAATGTAACCGATGAGATCTTCCTCTCCACAGAGGTCTCACGGACGAATCCGAGATTTTGAAATTCCTGCAACACGGTACGCTGGTCGGCCTCTTACCCGTTCCTCATCCGATCCTCATCAGAAAATATCAGGTTTGTGTGGAATACGTTCATGAAACGCTCTCAGGGCTCGGATTCCTGAATTAAGTCAATCAACTCAGAACCGTCCTTAGCCTCGCCGCACTCCCCTCTGAGACCTCGATCCTTCTAGAGGATGGTCGTTAGCGAGTCGCTGACTGACACTCCGATCACCCTTCCCTTGCAGGCGAACGCCGGAACAGCTATCTGGTTCAAAACGTATATGTGGGGTGTGATATATCTACGGAATACTGATCCCCCAATCTGGTACGATACGGGCGTCCAGCTGTTCCAGATACAGACTGTCTAGCTCCGAGGATGAAGGTCTCCCATGACGAGTCGAGGCGCTCCTGGCCATCCCTCTTCAAATACCAAGCTTCCGAATCCCAAGCTGTGATTTCCCCCGCCTGCAATGGCGTCTCGAACCCCCATCACCAACAATTCAAACGAATTGTATCGAGCCGGGATTCCTATCCGTAGTTCTCGCACAAGAGAGTTGCGAAACTGAAAAAATCTCAAGTCAAACCGATCAAGGGTCGAGTCTCAGTCAGTGTGATAGCGTGCCGGGAAGAGGGCTTAACAGTCAACAGTCCCGCACGAAATCTTCCGTAATCGTGGCGCCGTCTACGACGGTTGAGGGATCCTTTGCCTTGAGCCTTAAGACGCGCCACCGACTTGAGCCTCTCCCCCCCTTTTTCCCTCCCGGAGCCTCCATCGCGGGTCTCCGACTGTCGGGCATCCCGATTCGACAAGCGAAACGACTTTGTCGACGAGGGTCATCTAGTCAAGCTTTTCGATTTGGGATCGTCGATGAGTCCGGAAATTCTATCCGAAGAAGTTCGTGGCGGCTCCGTTCCTTCCGGCGCTCTTCTCCGCGTTCTCGACGTGTGTTCCCTGATCCCCTGCGGAACGTTCAAAGCAACCTATCGGACGTCTTGGAGCGTCAGACGAGCTTTCCACCGTCACGGATGTCGATCAATAAAATAAGGTCCCCGAGAACACCCCGAATGGACCATTATTTCCGGGAGGCTGTCAGCGGAATGGTGGCGAGAGAGGATCAGACGGCTCGTTTTCGATCATAGGTTCAAGAGAAAAGCCCCCTCGAAATGAAAACCCAGCACGGAAAACATGTATAAAAATATCAGTAGATCTTTAATACATCGTACGTGATCCCTGTGGGACCACTTGTTGGCGAACAATCTCTATGGTAGGTGGCGGAAGGTGTATCTCGTTCAACAACTTGATCAGGTGGTGCACGGGAGCCGCATGACGGGTTCGGAAAACTCCCAACTCATATTTTGATTTATTCATAAGGGTATTTCGATGTTTGGGCAGTGGGTACGCTGCATAGCACAACTATTCAGAAATCAGAAGCTATTCCAGAAACTTTTTTCTGCGCAGCAACAAAGCTTCTCATCTGTCCCTGGTAAACACCGCGATGCTAACTAACTAACGTTAGCTCTACTTAATCACACTTGTTGAGTTTGGTCTGCGCTCTGGACGCGACGATGTCTATTGAGCGTTCGGAAACAACTTAAATCACTGTACATACAAGAATATCGATTGGCTGAAAAGCGCTTCATTCGCGTTTTCTAGACGCTGTTGGAGGAGCTATCGCGTTCTGTTGGTTCATTCTCTTTATGTATCTGTTGAATATCATGTTCGTCAACCACAAGCTAGGCGTGAACAGGTGGAGTGGTCGCATTTTCCGCGGTGTCGTCACGGCCTCAGTTGCCGAAATGATGAACAACGGAAACAGAATTGCGAACAAACAGCCGGCGATGAGCCGCGATTCTGATATTGATGTCATCACGGCCAGGGGCATTCCGAAGCCCACGAAGTACGGCCAATTATCCTCGAGAGCGCTGAGTCGGTAGAGGAACTCTCGGCCCTGATTGCACCATTTGTATTCAAACACGTAGAGACTGTACAAGATCGAGAGGTGCAAGAGCCCGATGATCTGGCCGATCGGTGCGATCGGGAACAGACACACCAGCTGGGTCTGTATCAAGAAAATCACTTGCACCGAGTACGAAAATATACTATCGACGATGAATCTCTTCACAGAGTGCAACGCTTGCGGTCTTCCCCGCAAATGGCGGTACGCCTGGTCGGCGATGTCCAGAAACCAGATGCAATTCACGATACGGGTCAGGATGAAGACGGGCATGACCCAGAGGAAACCGAATACCGCGCTCAACGTCGGTTCGAGCCAAGTCCATATACCCGACGTGCTTCCTTCGAGCACAACTGACAACGCCATCTGAAGTCCGGGCAGCAATGCATAATTGAAGAGCAGGAGACTGAGCATGAAGACGCCGCCGTTCAGTAGACAACACTGTATCAAGCGGTGGATTATCTTCGGTCGAGCGTTGTTCGATGAAGGCGCCGTCTTCTCTTTTTGCTGTCGTCTACGCAAAGCTAATGCTGTGAAAGCCTGCACGTCTTGAGCCACCTTACTCGAAATTGTATCGTTTTTCTCTAGCCATCGGGAATCCAATTTGCCGATCGCCGCTATGCCCCATACCGCGTCACGGCATCCTATGAGCACTCCGGAGACAACGTCTCCTATCACTTTGGTAGCCATGGTCTGGACGGTCCACAATCGAGTTTCGATGATAAGGAGAAACGAGTCGCACTTCTCCAGGAGAAACGACGCATTCAGATCTGCTGCTCACTTTCCTTGTTGTAACTGCGCCGCCATGCGCTGGCGGAGAGAATCTTGGCGATTGCTTCTTCTCCGATTCAGAGATCACAGTAGGAGAACACGGCGCAACACTAGCGAGTTCTGTGATCCAACTGTGTCGGAAGGTTCATCTTTTCAAACTTGACGTTCGAAGCCTACGGAGTAACACAGCTGTTTACGTGCGTAGTTCGACCGCATACGTAAGAGGGCGCTGATGGTTTCAACGGAACCGGAGGAACGGAATCTTCACCAATCGTCACACGCCCAAGCACAAGCCCGGAAAACGCTCAGCGCCGAAAGACCAGAGATCGCAGTACGCATCGTGTCTCTCAGGAACGCAAGGGATTGGGACCTTTTGAATGACTCATGAAACGGGACGTCTTTGACTGCGCTCGAGCCGGGGTAAAAAAAGGTCGGAATGATGGTTCGGCGACACCGAAAGAGCGGTGGAAAGTAGCTTGAGTTCGCCGCCCCACTCGGACGCTCGAACTTACGCTGGGGATAGCGGGTCCCGCTCCGAAAAAACGCGCCTCAGAACTCGGTGAGAAGCTGACGATGATCTCTGACTGATGCGGGTCCGGCCCGCGAGCAGCTAGTCGAGAGCCGACCGTCGCGGCGGTCCGAAGTCCCGATCCAGAGAGACATAATTTCACATCGCTAGGCTCCCAATGGGAAGTTTCTTCCCACAGGAGAAATTCCCTCCTCATCAGAAGGTTCCCCGACCATCGCAGCAGATGGACGAAGCGAATCGAGAAATGCCGCACGAGACCCATCCGCCATCCGCGAGCTCCCTTCTTGAGAGCTTCCGATTACAGGATGGATGCGGTGGGATATTTCCCCTTACAGACAATACTCTCCGCCGTATGGGAGTGGGGGGTATGATATTCGCTCACGGTTCTTCCCTCTGCGGATGAAAAACGCTGTCCGTGTACAAGAGCTGGCCTCCATATGACCGGAGTGAGGAGTTTTGGGGTTCCGCTTTACCAGTGGAGGGTTGGAATTTACCCAAGTCTAGCGATCAGGAGAGAAGACCGGCTTCGAGAATTTCGAACACAAGCTGGACCCGAGTCAGACCATTGTGCGATTCGCTGTTAAATCCTCGCAAGCGATTTTCGAGCGCTGTGACCGTGATTATTCAGATCTCTGATGGCGAGCGCTGCAGCAGGCGACGTTGCCGTCGTTGTCGACGCTTTGCCGTATATCGACCATGAGTATGACGAAACCGGGGTTCGCGAGGCGGTATGTTGCCTATAGACGTTCTTCCTATGACAGTTCTAATTCGATAGCCTGCTTTTTCCATTATTAGTGCATCGAATCTCGGCATGGATTAAATGAATTCTCATTCCCCCCATCTTCGTCAGGTCCTAGCCATGGTCGAAGAAGAAACTCGACGGTACCGTCCTACGAAGAATTACCTGGAGCACTTGCCTGCTCTGAAGCTACACGAATTCGAGACGGAAATCCTCAGAGCCGAGCTGGAGAGGCTGCAAGCTAGAACACCCATGGATATGATATCCATGAAGAGGTTCGTGTCCCGCCGGATTGAGACGAGTCATATATTCCCATAACCCTTGGTATTCTCTAAACCTCCGCTTTCGTAGGTACGAGCTCCCTCCGCCACCCCATGGTCGGCACAATGACCTTCAAGCTTGGGCAGAAGCTGTCGACAACTCCCATGCGCAGCTGGAACAACAGGTTAGGCCTTCCGAGTGCCTCTCATTGGATTTCTCAACGATCGGCAGCGTCTTAGACCCAGATACTCCATCCGGTAATATTGCCCTTGAACAGTTGGTTAATTCCTGCAGATAACTCGTATCGTGAATCTGGAGCTCCTGGAGAAATACGGAGCGGAGTCATGGCGCGGACACATTGATGTGTTGGTCAATATTGTGAGGGATCTGCAGAGCAGGTGCGTATCCATAGGGTGTACTCGATCAGAATCCCCGGAGCGAGGGCTGGGTCCGAGCCGGCTGGGAGAAAATAATCCAGATATTCATGAATAAAGAATTTCAATACCTTGTCATCAGGCTTCAGGACGTACGCCGCAAAATCCAAGACATCCACTACGAGCGAAAAACAAGGCAGACTGAAGTCGGAGACGAACTCCGACTCCTTGAGTCCGAATGGGTGAGCTAATACTCCCGACAAGTGAGCCATCATGCAATGAGTCACGGATTCGGCTTATCCAGGGCCGTCGCTGCTGAATCTGAACGTTGCATCGTATCGAGATAATTCACATGGCACATTGTAGTTTTGATGCACATTCTCTGAGAATTAGTCTCGGATCCATACGAATACGCATGAAATTGGAAGCAGTGCTCATATGTTCAAGTCTCAAACATCGAAGATGACACTCTACCCATTTGGTTTCAGGTCGGTCTGGTCTCGAAAAATTATGAAATCGAGAGAGCTTGCGCTGAATTGGAGAAGGTGCGGGACATTTCTTCTGTAGCGAATGAGTGGAGAGAGATGCCTTTAAGTATAATTAGAACCACGGAGCACCGATTGACGAATTATCGTGTTCTAGGAGATTCCGGGGACGTCTAAGGACGATGAAACACAGGAGCCTATTGCCAAGAAGACCCGCAGCGAATAGTGCAGAGAGGTCGATTGAAAACATCATGATAATCTTGTATAAATACGACTTGTAAATAGCCGCATCCCTCGATAAACCGAGTATTCGATTCCTCTGGAGATCTTTTCACTCCTTGGCGCATGAGAGTCGCCGTGTCTTCATCATTTGTCATCTTCTGTCGAGCCAGCAATTCACGCCTAAATTCCTCCCGTAGAGGCTCCGAAATCGCTCTGGCAAAGCGTTCGAGGGCATTTCTCATATCGCCAGGGGAAGAGTGAGGATGGAGGGAGATCGGAGAATGTGGACACACTCTCGACAGGTCTCTTCACCACATCGCCTGATTGCTCCAAGTCCTTATTCCTTCGGGAGGAGCTTAGAATCCCTCTTCGCCATAGTCTCTGTCGCTCTCGCATGGCGGGGATATCGAGGCTGTAGCTCAGCGGGACATTTGGGCAGCCGTGGGGTCTGGGGAATGGGAGATGATTCTCGGGTCTGAACCGGGAGTCTGAAGCGAGAATGGGGTCTGAACCGAGAAGAAACGGTGGCTCATGAGGTTTGGATTATCCAACGATATTTTGCTTCCATGAATAAAAGTTTACGTAATCATACACTACGTATTATGAAGGGCATGCATGTCGTCGGGTGAACAACATAACGAAAAAGAAGCGGGAGCAGGGGCTAACAGATATGGTCAGCTTTGCAATTCGACCGCCGCGACGGGTTGTTGGGGGGTTAGCGCGTCTGCCACCTCGCTACATGAAGAAAGCCGCGAAAGGCCGCTTTCACTTGAAGAGGTGACGCCACACGCGTGGGAAGAGGTTCGGGTTCGATCCCCACTTTCGGCCAGACTGCTTTACGGGCTCTCGAATATATATGCGTCCCGGACCCGTCCTCGGAAGCAATGCCTGAACGGTGAAACCACCACGTAGATGTTAGGTTGTGGCCGGAGAATATATCGGGATGGGCAAAATGCCGCGATCCCTGAGCCATTCCCTCCTTGCGGCATCTTCCAGAGTCTCCGGAGTTCGTCCCAAGCTTCCAGCCGGCCGAGGAAGCCAGCCCAGTCATGGAAGTCACGTTACGCTCTGCCTCTCGGGCCAAGCAGGAACATTTTTGCGGAAAAATCACTTTCTCGCAGGAGATTCTGAAGTTTTCAACTCGAAGAACACAAATCGAGCAGAATGCGTGCCGCCGGCCGCGATCTGTCCGCCAACGCTCCGACTGCGAGCTGCGCTCTCGACGAGCAGAGGAAAGGACCGTTTCGAAATTCCCGCGAAATAAATTAATTTTCGCAGCGTGAGAAGGTACGACTTGGACTCCGAAGCAGCCAGAAGTACTTGATTCTGTCCCATCGTTGCCGACCTATGTTGCACCGTCAGCCTCACATGGACGGAAGTTCCTTAACTCCCCCCATAGAGACGACACAGAGTTCGCGCAGTAGCTCCAAACGACACAGGAGGCGACGGCAGGGCGAATAAATCGCAACTATATGTGCGTGTCGACAAGCGGATCATCCCTCTCCCAGCGGAACAGTGAGGATGGTGTCAGAAGCGCCGTGCTACCCCATTTCGAGGATCTCGCCCCATCGACAGGAGCGGCGAGCGAAAGAGGAAAGGGCTTTTCGAGCAAAGGGCCCCGCGCAAGTCAGGGCCCCTCCGTCCTCTCGCTCTGGAGTCCGATATCCTATGCAGGCAGACAGGCAGGCTTGTGGCGGACGACGGAATGCTCCCGACTTGAGGGCCATTCTTTGGGCCTCACACTAATCAGGCTTCCCGAGGATTTGTTCGCACTCCACAAGGTGCAGTGAGACTAGGAGAGAATCGAGGGGGATGAGGCAAGCCCATCCCATGTTCAGTGGGCAGGGCGAACGCCTAGGGCCGCGGTGCTGACCGATCTGACTGAGTCCCCAGCAAGTCCCCAAATCTAAGCAGCAGCACCATGGCGGCTCACGGCATGGAGTTGTCGCGGTGCCGAATGCGCCGTGTCGGATGCAACGCCCTCAAAAACTGTGAGTAAATAGAGCTGGTCTTCGAAGCTTACTGAGCCGTGGCTCTCTTGGTTTGTTGGGCTTCTCTGAACAAAAGCAAGAGAGGTCACTCGGGTTTGCCCTTGCAACGCTTGCCTCGCGGTGCGCCATTACCTCTTTGAGGAAAAACCTATGGATATTGATCGAGATAGTGGATCACGGTTGTGGGCGAGCTAAGTGCAGTCTTTCTAGCCCCGTTAGGGGCGAAATACCCCCGACGGTGGAATTGCGGGCAGTAAGGAGTGGAATCAATGGGAACGCCGAGCACTATTGAGAGCATCGTGCATTTTTTACGAGTCTCCGATTTTCGAAAGCCATGAGGCATGGGATTTTGCATCCTCTCGCTGCTAGCACGTAGCCGGATATCGCTTGCAACATTCGCATCTCCACTCTATGCACGGCGAGGGCTGGTGCGATCTTCAACGAACGCTGAGATGGACTCCCCCAGTGAAGCACGAGGAACTTCCGAGGAGCCGATGCAAGGGGTCGTGGTGCAATCCGAAGCTCTTGCGCCTTGCAAGATGGTTTGCAAGCTCCGGATGATGAGGGAAAATATGAAAATTCTCGCTGCTGCCCGTGCTGAGCTCCCTTGTCAAGGAGCTATCGCCCTCCGGAATCCCGGGCTTTGATTATTCCAGGAGTGAGTGTTCCTTCGTGTAAGACACGGAGTACACAGCGGACGACTGATCCGTGAGTCTTCGGGAAAATACAGGATTGAGAACCCGGTTCAGCGGCTGAAGGCAGCTCGATAAATGCCACCGGTGAAAAAGATGGAAGGACACCTTGACGCGATTTTGTTGCCGCGGGGGATCAGAGGATCTTACTGACTGGAGGGGATGCGCGCTCTCCGTTCATGTATTGCTGAATTGGTATTCTTGGAATTTTTCGTGGGAAACGTCAGTCGGCCAATGTATAAGGAAAACGGTAGAGGGATCCCGTATACATGCCGATTATCTGTATCACATTCTGTTATGCTAATCCGGCGGTTTCTCGCCGCGAGGGCTACATATGTCACGATTCCCTCGCTGCCGAGAGAACCGTGAAATCGAAGCGCTTCATCCATCTAGTGCGAGGGAAATCCTTAGGCAAGACTGGGCTACCAATACGAATACAAACCCCTGTGTAATTTTGTAGATCTCCAGCGGCAAGGGGCGAATGCCCACCGCAGCGATAGCGGATGGGCGATTCCAAAGATTCGATACAAGTGTCTACAGGAAGCTCATTTCTCCAGAGACGATATGATCGCATTTTCGAGCAGACAAATCAATTTCCGCCCTTGACGATGCGCCACCCACTCAGGATGGGATACGGAAATTCGAATTCATTGACGTGCTCTGCTTCAGTGCCTCGGCGTCATTATTCTTCCCTGGCTCACCGAATTGTAGCAGGGGGGATTTTTCTTTCGGGACCGAGGCGCCAATTTTCTTATCGCTCCCTGATTACTTGTCAACACCGATCGTCAGCCCTGCGGGCAGGTGAGCAAGATGGCCCGACGCGGCAGGCGCAGCTCTCAGTCAGCAGCTCCGTCGGAGCAAACGAGATGTTCGCATGAGGATCTTAAAGGCTAGAACGAGCTCCTGCCGAGCCTTCACCGTCGAAGTGACGACGACTTCGAGATCAGAAAGGCTTCAAGCGAGCGAAGCGGGAGAGAGAGAGAGAGCAATATCCTTCCGCGACTGCGGTTCTTTGTCGATGACATTCAGCACAGATTTCGAGTCGCAGCGAAGCGGCGAGAGGTTGGAAAAACTCAGGCCTCCGAAGCTTCCCCACTAACGGTGCTGGGGATGTATAGTTGTCACGGTCACCTAGCGGCCTACGACCGGAGTGATCTCGGCAATCTCGACCGGCTGGCCAGCAACAAACTGTCCGGGAATCGAAGTTGCTCGCCTTCTCTCGCGATACGCCAAGCGTCTCATCCCCAAGGTTTGCGAAAGTCGTCTCGTTGATGACGTCCAGATGCGACGATTCCACCTCGAACTATGAAGAACACTTATTTGGCTTCGATTAGGGAAAGAAATCATCTCAATCCAGATATGACTTCCGAGTAGGCTTCATAACGCGCAGAGAGCTCGATTCTCTATGCAACAAACCGGAAAAATACGGATCGGGCCCCTCGAACCCGAATTCTACCGCCCGAACGGAGCGGGGTGTTTCCCAACAGCGAAACCTCTGTCTAACCAGGTTTTTTGTTCCCAGGCTTCTACTGCACTGTGGGGTTGATTTGGGCTGATGGGGATTGCGTCTTCATCACCCCCCTCCAACAGCCGAAAAATCAGCAAGCCGTTCATGGAGCTGGCGGACATATCCACGGTGCTCACCATCAGGTTCACTTCTGCGGACACCAAGTTCTTGGACTGTTCCGGACGGTGCATGGCTTGTGCTATAGCAGTCCGAAGAAGTGGCCGCCGTGCATTTCTGGTGAGCAGCGCGACCGTTTCGCATGAATGTAGCTCGAACCCTCTCTTTTAGTCGTACCAAGGGGCGAAAACGATAGTAATGCTTCAAAAATATCGACGCTTACGGGGGATGAGCGCAAATGATCTGATTGATGCATGAGCGAGCAAATGCTCGACTCCGGCCCAAGCCATCGGCTGCAGCCAGCTGCGGCCCTGAGAAGTCTGGCGCGCTTGCTAGACCACCAGCCGCCGTCGCCGCACGTCTGTGTCTAATGGTGCTCGCTTTCTCTATTCGCAGTCCTGGCTGAACGCGTGGACGATGGGTCACTGGAATTGTCCATTTGGAGGATGAATGTGGCAGTCGCCGGTGGCGTCTCTTTCTCAAAGTGGTTCGTATCAGTAGGGAACACGGTTCCGGTGTGACGTTTGCGTCCCACCTAGGAGAAATAGACCTCTGATGTTCCCTCGCTCGTGTTTATTCGATTTGCTTGGAGTATCTAGGATGCTCGCCCAATCGTGAATTCCTCAGAGCTGGAAAAACATCCTCGAAGTATTTACTCATATGTTGTGCCTTCCAGGAGTGTTCTTGCTCTGCCTCAACTGCCAGTGCTTCAAGGATGTTTGTGGCACCCCGAGCGAAGCGTGTTCTGTCTCGTCTTTAAAGTGAGTGTTTTTTTGCCGATGATTGCCGACAAATGCACAACGTGATTGGCCACCAAAGCTCGGGGTAACGTGAAATTGTTCCCTCTCTTCCGTAGGATTCGGCAAAGATATACGTTATCAACGAGGAAAGTAGCGACCTGCAAGAGGTGAAGACTATCACCCCATTCGCGGGGTCGCGGTTCGTCTGCGGCACGTGGAGCAAGAACGGGAAGCGACTTATCTTAGCCACGGAGTCGACGCTAGTGGTACGTGACATTCCTGTGTCCGCAAAAATTGATCTCAAAATTCTTTCCGTTGTCCATCTTGTTGGAGCTCTCGGTCCATGTCTCATTCAAGGACGAAACCCTAACTGACGGCCTTGCAGTTCTATAACATCCCGTGTGCGGACATGGAGCAAGCTGAAATGGAGGTCATTCTCGGTCTCGAACGGGTTTGTTGCATCGAAAGCATGGACGGCGAACGGTTTGTTTGCACGGTGGAGTTGCCCATAGACTCAATGGTTGCCCGCAGCCGCTCCGATAGATGTCTGATTGATCAACAGACAGGACACTCGAGGAGTAAGTTCCAGCAGCTAAGGATAATAATCGACGGGACAGACAAGACGCCCCGCCGTATGTAAGCCCATCGACACAGTTGCGAGGGTTGGGGGATTGGAACGGCCGAATCCTCATGCCGACACCTGATTTCCATCATGGAGCACAGAGCGAGCTCGAAATTGATGTCGATAATGTGACATCAGCGTGAATTGCGCTGGAGCTTTAATACTTTCGGAGCGGCGCTGACAATACGCCCGTTACGTGACTGTACTACGAAGCAGGGACGAGCTCTCAGCGCCGGATCTCACGACGGTTCCGCCAATGTCGCTCTCCGAATACGTCGGACCAATCTGCTCGACGAAATCTAACTCGGAAGTGTTTCACAGGCGGCCTGGATTCCATCCTAGGCATGCACGGTGAAGGAATAGAGGGAAGTTCCCAACTGTTTCTTCTACAATGGAACCCGGATACGGATAAACCAGAAGTCCGTAGCTGGGACGAGCTCTATGGTGAGTGGAACTCTCAGTCTCTAAAACCAGCCCCCCCCCCCTCTTTACCCCTCCCGTGTCTGCTTGCGAAGTATCTCGCACTTCGAACACTCAGCGAGGATTCCGTAATTCTGTCTTCTCTCATTCCGCTGAGAATCGTCGATAGAGCGCAAGAAAGAAAGTACGATCGCCTGAGGCACTCCTCGCTCCTCCCATACGCTGAGTCGATTGTTTTTCTGAAGTTTTATTACGAAACTCTTAATTTCGCCTCGTAAACTTCCGAGCTCAATCAGCTAATGCTCGGAGGATATTCCGAAGAAAGGGGGAATCGGCGATCCCCTTTCCCCCCCACACTTTCCGATCCGTTTCCTCGCAAGTTCATGATGCCCTTACCGTTGAAGAACTCCGAATTCTTGTTCTAAGCATCTTGATCGCTTCCCGAACAGGAATCCTATCCCCCGATCTTCTTGCTGTGGAGCCACAGACGGGCCTGATCGTTGTAGGCTCGAATTCCTCAAACACCCTATACGTGTACGGTGTGGCTGATGAACAGTTAGAGAAATTACACGACATCAATCTGCTGCGTGAAGAAAGGCCCAAAGGGGTCACAATCCATAATCAGGAGGCCCTACTGATGATGGCAAAGGTGCCCTGTGAAGAGCGTCAGATGGGTTTGTCAAGGTCGGTATCTAGCCCGCAGTCTTCCCCAAAGAGATTTCCGGGTATCGTGAGCCTCGGCTCGAACCCGCCACGAGCTCGAATTCGGAATTGAAATTATTCCCTCTCCCGTAGGTCCGAGTTCGTAGAGTACGAGGTGATTCTGCGATCGATACCTTTGTCGACGGGTTCATCTTCGGCGGGTCCATCGGCTTGCACGCTCCGCACTCTGTTAGGTCAACACGCGAAGAGCTCAGTTTCACTGGATTCAACGATCTCCGACGGTGGGCCGGGGGTTCGGGGTAGGGCGGCATCAACGGCCAGCTCGAGTCACATGCTCAACAGGTGAGAGCTCCACGATGCTGAGAGTTTTTTTCATGATTGTTTTCCGGTCCCGCGTAGACCGAACTCGCCTAAAATGGATGAATTCATGCGCTTCTTCCTCTTCCAGGGCACACCACATAGACGGTGTGCTCCCGTTGGGAGGTGACTCTCAGCCGTCGTCAACGATGACGTGGCCCCGCGGCATGTTAGGAGACTTGAAAAGCCACCTGCAACACGGCGGAAATCCTCCTCCGCAGAGACCCATGAGTGCCCACGCCAACCACCATCACCACCAAGGGCATCCTCATTTAGGCGCACAGTCCGAGGGACATTTGGCTGCCGCAGCGCAACAGGCAGGAGGTGAGCTCTTCATCCCGGGAGGGAAAATTTCTCTACCTCGTTGAACTATGTCGATCCTGTCACCGAGCCCGCGCTAACTTGCGTCGTTTGTGTTCACAGGCAAGCTCTTGGACGACCTCAATAGCTTGCTGCACTTCAACGACGGAGTGCGTGACTCAAACCATTTGCCAAACGACATGCTGGATTTGCAGTCTCTTCTGTCAGGAGCTGGAATCTCGTCAGATGCGCTCGGCGCCATAGGAGACGATCCTGATTACCGCAAATTGGCGGGATATCACGAGGAGCTGTTCAAGCGAGCGGCTTCCGGCTTAGACATCGGCTCGGTGAGCGCGTGGATTCACGAAATTATTCCATGAGCGAGCACATTTTCGGAGGCGAGCCAATAACTCACAACTTGAATCAAGTTGCAGATGGGTGCGGATGTTCGAAGGAACAACACGCTTCCGAGAGAACACGTCCGCGAGAGGGAACCTCATGTGCGGTCAGATTCCTACCCTGGTGATGGAGGTGCTTCAACGGCCAATGCGTCCAACTTCAATGCTATCTCTGCTCGTCTGGTCCGTGAATACGTAGGCTAGAAACAATGAATCGTTCGCTAGCCGATTCAAGCGCACACCACACAAAAACTCGGGAGTTACAGGTTTCAGAAATTCGGTCTTTGCGCTTTGCAGGTTTCTCTAGAGGACTCCATCGCTGGGATGACTAGAACTCAGACCCGAGAGCTCCAGGAGATCAAAAACGAGTTATCAGCTATTCGTCGACTGCTAATTTCCGTGTTGTTCCACGTGCTACCCGGAGAGGCGAGGTCGGACGCTGTGTCCAAGTATACATAGCCAAAAGCTGAACGAGAAATCTCACCAGAGGCAGACTTCGAATCGCCGCCGCCTTTACCTCCGCGCAGATCTTCGAAAATGGATGAACAAATCAAATGAGCATTGAACGTAGTCGGTCGTACCAATAGTAGCAATAGCACTCGATAAGCTCTCAAGCAGACAGACAGACAGACAGACAGACAGACAGACAGACAGACAGACAGACAGACAGACAGACAGACAGACAGACAGACAGACAGACAGACAGACAGACAGACAGACAGACAGACAAACAAACGAACTCTACTCAATTTTGGCCGATTGTAATGGCCAGTCGTGTCGCGTCAGATCCACCACACCCCAGGACGTAGCACGGATCAATGGTCCATGATGATGATGACCGATTGTTTGACGAAACCGCAGAATGCAAGATTAACATTTAACAGCCAGTGATACATACAACTATAATACGGCGTCGGGGTCACGTTGATTGAATGTGCGCTGAAAGACGTTGAGAATGAGAACGGCATATGAGACAAAGCATGAAGATTGAAATGTCACAACAATTTTGCGAGTCGAGTCCACGAACATTATTAAGACAACCATGGAATTTTTGCGACATGGAGAATATATAATGAAATATATATTCGAAGAAGGAAATCGGAATCGCTCCTCGGACGTTGCGTGCAATGTATCCGAACACAGTCGTTTGAAGAACCTTCTCCCAACTCCGAGTAGAGGACGGACAGGCGGACCGAGGTGTCAGAAAGAGGAGAAGGGGACGACGAACAAGGAGTAGGAGGCAAGGAGGGGGAGGAGGAGAAACAGGAGATGAAGATCAACTCAAGAGGTGCCATAAAGTCCAAACTTGGACGAAATGTATTGCTCATCGATAGATAGTTTCTTGGGACCGGACGTCTCGTAGAAGCGTTTCCGAGCGACGTATAGCCGCCAACAACAACAACAACTACTACTACTACCTATTATTAATACTAATAATAATAATGATAATAGTGACGATGATAATAATACCAAAACAAACTCATTGAGGACGACGCGAGAGCTCCGAGTAGTGGAAGCAGCGCGACTGGCAGACGATGGACACAGTTTCGCAAGGAAAAATCACAAAGCCTGAAGTGCCGCGACAGTATTCGTCGGGCATCTTCGGAGAGCTATTTTATAAAAACTATACTGAATCAGCTAATTTCGTCTTCTAAAGTTGCCTAAGCCAGACGACAAGCTTCACGTTTTCAATTCTCCCGACACAATAATTGCTCTGTGGTCTAGAAACCGTTCTCACGCTCAATCAGACTTTCGGAAGCGGAGTTCGTTTGAATTTTGTTCCTCTCGATCCTCGGAGTCGCTCATTCAATGATGACAGTCATTCAATCGAAGCGCGATTGAAGCGAACCGCTCAAACAGTCCGATTTCCTTCCCTGAACATGGTCTTCATGAGGCTGTTCTGGACCGTTTTACTCGACCCTCGAAGATGTTTCGTTTAGATGATATAAGTAATTTATGCAAGTTGGAACTTGCACCTCGGCGACTCATACGAACGGTAGCCTCTAACAAAACACTCGACTCCCCTACAAATGCTCCCCTTTGCGTCTAGCCCACTCGTTCACTTTGAGTCTCCTGACCTAACTTTCGTCCGGGGGTAGTTTTCGCGTCGTAATCGTCGTCGATTCCACTCAGTCGCCAATGCAACGATGGGATGATTTGAATGCGAATATCAGCAGCTTTTTAGAACTGACTGACTCGAACTGACTTAATGATGTACATGCTGATCGCAAGAAAAATAAAATGCTCTCGTTATGTTGACGAGACTTGGAAAAGCACTTCTCATTCTTTCTCGAGTATGAATCATACGAACCAAATCGGCTCTAATCTCTCCCGGGGAGAATCTGAGGCGACCACGGAAAAACTATTTTCGATCATGATCGATCGTTTCTCATGCACAATCATTGATCACCATCCAAGGTAGAGTTTGATTAGTCGATGCATTCTTCGCCGGATCGGTGTTCGAAAGGCGGTCTTCGTTCGCAGCCCTGACGGAGCTTATATGATAAAATCCGACCCTCTAGATGGGTTGGCATCGGATGGCTCATGTTGGAGCCACATGAGGCCCGCTTCCGGGGTCGCGGTCGCACTCTGGAGCATCTTGAATATCGATCTCAACGCCTGGAGCAATTCTCTTCTTGGAAAAGATGGGGCTCTAGCGGCTGTCCAAGAGACAAAGAGCCTGCTCGAACAGGAAGCCTTACTGGCCCAACCGATCGAGGATGCGTCCCTGGCCATGGTCACCGAAGAATGAGACCCGGACCGGCACGTCCCGGACCGGCAAGCCCTAAGTTCCTCCGGCCGGGAACTGAGAGATCTGGAGACGCGCTGAAGTAAATTCGATAGGGACCTCTTGGCCGTGAATCCCGCATGCCGCAATTTCCTGCCCCAAATGAAAGGGAATCTCAACTCTCGCAGCGTTATGAAGGATCATACCTCGTCCCCGAAGCCAAGGACTTCCGGAATCTCGTGGAAGAGACGATAACATCGCGTCTCGTTTGAAAGATGAAAGCCAGCCCACGTGACGGGCTAGAAATGCCTCTGGAATGTCCCTCGAGTATGTGGTCCGATTCCCCCGGTTCACCTCGGATCGGCCCATCAAACGCTTGCCTGTCGGGACAGGTTTCACTCCATATTGTACGAGTGATCGATGTCTCTTAGCGAGCCTCAAGTCGGAGTCCGCCGACCAGGCTCTCATCTCATGAGTGACGGAGGCGTCACCTAGCGGCCGACTCGAACAGAGCGACCTACTGCTCAGCTTTTCACCATGTACAAAATTCGACCCGTTATCGGAGGGAGCGACACAACCCCGCATGTATTCGGGAAGCTCGAACGTTCGGTACACCTTCTCTTCCAAACTCGGCGTTGGCCTCACGATGTGCAAGTGTCGGTTCGAGCGTTTTCCGATTAGGGGTGCAATGACAGGGCGATGGGTCCGGCTTGAGACAGCGTTCGAATGAACTCCCGGCTGAGATTGACGCTGAGCCTCACCGATTACGCGCTCCGACTCCGAGAAAATATCCCCCCCCCCGTCCATGGGATGCTTGCCCTCGACTTCCCATTCGACTCAAGGTCTGCGGGCCTTCAGCTCCGGCGAAAGTCCGCGAGCCCAACCTGGAGCGAAGCCATATGTCGGATCAGACGATCAGCTGTGATCAAGTGATGCGGCTTTAGTCACGTAGGCACATAGCGGCGAGAATATCCCGGTCACAGCCATAGGGCCACGGCTAATGGGAGAGCAAGGTCATCTAGAAGGAAGCCTCCGTCGAGCGGGCCGGGGGCGATCCCCGCCGAATCGCGATCCTCGTACATATCATAGCAGCATGATGTTCTCTAAATTGATCCTAGTTCAAGAAGACGGACGGAAGAACCACCACCGGGCGAACGACTCCAGCGCCCTCTACAAACACGGATTTGCTGCGCACTTTCTCTACGCGAGTCTACGTAGACAGCGCCAGTAACGCGACCGGTTGGTAGACTTGTTGTTTTGCTGAGAGGGTCTCTTGTCGTTCCTTTTCCATCGCGTCGCCTCTCTGCCGGCTGCCCTGTTCAATAGTGAATGCCGTAGCGAGTAGCGGCCTCCTCAGCTAGCACGTCAGCCGGTCGCTCGGCTGCTTGCTTTGTCGGTCGGTCTCTTCGCCTTTCATTTAGTTCATCAGTATCGAAGCGAAAGTCCTGGAGACAGTATCTTGCTCAAAACGCTTGCGAGGCTCTTCTGTTCTTCGCCGAACTTACGGTGAGTCAGTGAGAGACTAATCCACGCCAAAGGATGGCGGTCGTTGGCTCGAGCACGAACCGCGTAAACAACCAGCAACTATCTATCCTAAGGGGATGGTTTCGCTCGGGAGAGGAATTCCGCGACGCTCTCCGAACCCCGACGAACGACTCGAACTCGGTGGGCCTGCGGAGAAAATCGCTGCCTTCGCGAGTGATATAGTTTTCTTGGAAGCGCAAAAAGTCGCCCGAGCTCCCTCGAACAGCTGATCCACTTTCAGCTGCTTCGACGAGTCACTGCTGCGGTGCACGCATTTATGACCGTCTATATAACGTCTTCGATTCATAAGCCGAACTCCGGCAAAATCGAAATCAGCGTTCTCGAGTGGAGAGCCTTGCGAGCGAAGCATTTACATGGAATAGCCGAGAATCTTCCATCCACTCCCAAGAGCTAAATATAGTTGCGGCGGTCAAAATCAACAAACTACGAGCCAACAAAGATCTCCGCTTCAGTCCCGAGGAGCTCAATGCGTATTGGTCCAGCCGGCGAACACGCGGACTTGTTGTCAAGTTTGAAAACTGCGCAGTTACGCAGCTGAGGGAGAGTTTGCTCGGCCAGAGCTGTCGTTTCGACGTCGAATGCAATTTCGATCGTTTCACGCGATGTGGGATTGTCCATGATAATATTGATTCCGGACGCCCTCGCGAGCTTCAAGGTGCGAGAAAGGTCTTTCACGGAGCCCATGGATCGTACGGCTTCCGTGGCTACGATGACAGGGCTTTCGTCTCACTCCGGATTAGTCCCTGCAAGAAGGTTCGGAAACGACGTCCTCACTCAGGCGTTTGGAATTTCACATTTTTTCGCGAATTCGCTCAACTTCTTGCCGCATTATTCGTCGAGTGATTGAGGGTTCAACAGGCCTTCCGTCAACAACTCGCTTGAAGGCCATCTTGAGAAGTATTTCGGGTGACTACGAATCCATGGCATTGAATCTGTGTGCCGCATTCAAGATGCGCGCGAGCGGCGTTTTGACTCATCCACTCTCTTACCTGTTCCCCTTATCGACCTGGAAGACGTTTTTCGTAGGGTGGTATCCGTTGTAAACACTATCATTCATCAGCAACCTTGAGACGCTACCTAGGTTGTGCCGGATTCTGAGTAAACAACTCCTCCGGAGTGATTACCACACAAGCCTATCCGAGACGTCTCAGGCTCGCTGTCAACGAACGGATCATCGTAGACGGTAGCGGGCGATTCCCGTTCGGTCACGCGGACAGGCAAAGGTTGCTGTCGCCGAAGTGTTTCTATGTCCGTCTGGCATACGCGTTCGCAGCTAGACGAATTGATGCTGCTCCACTTGTTGATAGCAGCGTGCAAAGATGATAGGTCGACTATCTTGCATTTCGTGGTCCTCTTGGCGCCAGTCAGCTCCGCCCATTGTGCGCCTTCTCGAAGCTCAAGCCTTAGCCGCTTGCAGTAGACCACGACAATGAGCTTCCGCTAAATAATTATTATGGTAATTAGTCGATCGAAGCCCTCCGATCCATGGTGGCTTCTCTGATATCTGTTCCGGAGACAGAATCTGATCGTGACCGCTCACGACGCCCCTCCGACTTAGGGGTCACGCGCGAGAGTGGATTACGCGGAACCCATCGTTTTCACAGCCGAAGGATGTGGGCGAACCGAAATTCAATCCTTTATCCAATCGGATCCCATATTCCTTGTTCTTCCACGTCTGTGTGATGCATACTCTCATGATAACGCGTTGACCCCATCATGCTCCCTCTATAGACAAATCTCCAATGAATCTTCTGAATTCGAATCCGCGCTTTCGCTGCGCTCGAGCATGGACATCATCGGATAGAGCCGCGAAGCTCACGGGACTGATCGCAGTCTCGTCGTCTGTTTATGTACCGAGAGGTCACGATAAGAAAGCGTGACGAGGAGGGTGGTCAACTTTATCTTCTCGCGGCGGGGGTCGATGAGAATCGATTCGAGAAAAACGCGCAGTTGCCCATTGAAGTTTCTATTCTAGCCTCCGCGTTATTTCGTGTCAGTGTGACGTACCGTCCACGCGTCTTAATTACGGGCCTTCGGTAACGTTTACGACGCATCTCACAGCGCTAAGCAGTAACCCGATCATTGAGTTGATCTCGCCTCCTCTTCTCAGGGCTCGAGATAGCTGATCCCTAAAGCGTACCAAACCTACGAGCGGCGCAGGTTAATTTTTGGCGTTGAGCCAGACGAAAACACGCGTTTCCTCAATAATTCGATCTTGCCTCCCGGCCCGTAAGAGTGACCTCGCAGAGAGCGTCGAGAGAGAGATTCTAGCGGCTGAAGCGACAAACACGAGGTGAGCAAACCGCTCCCCAGGAGCCTCCTCTTAAAGCTAACCCAACTGAACCCAATTGGGAGGTCTTGTTTCCAATTGAGAAGCGTGTCGCCCTCGCTTTCAGGAGAAAAACTCTGTCTACGGGGCGCGTTGTGCGCTCTCTGTCTCGCACCTACATTGAGCTCTTGAGGTCCGTATGTAAGCTTCTCCGAGCCGGTCGATCTTTGTCACAAGAACGTCGAGTCGACTCATTTACTCAGCCGGTCACACGCGCGTACGCTGCCTCGCTCTCAACAGGTTGTCTTCTGGGTTCTTGGGGAAGCCATCGTCGTCTGCAACGAGAGACCCTATTGCTCGAAGGCCGGCGGTCATAGTGCTCGTCGCTGATGCTGAAATGAGAATCGAGCGTACGTAGCTGTACTAAGCAAAAGTCAGAACACTCTTCATCATTTCAATCTTATCACGGTATCGGATTCATCCGCCGGAGGGTCAATGACCCTTCTGAGGCGGCATCGAAATGAGACAATGATGGAAGAGTGCACATCGCATGTACTGATTCGCGCTGTTTTCGTTCTCCAAGTCAAATGTTCATGTTCTCTCCGTGATTCAGAGGCTTCGTGACGTCGATCTGCTCTCATATCTGGATGCGGGAGTCTGTAGAAGTTGGAAGTCTGGACTCATCGGAGCTTCACGCCTTGGAAGTCCTTCATAATCGCGAGGAGACGCCTGTAGGGAATCGCAATGCAGACACTCGAAGGAAGAAGTTGCCACCGAATCTTATCGTCGGACGTTCTCTGCTTACCTATGCAAACGATAGTTCGTCATAGAGGGCTAAAATGCTCGGATTCATTTACGGAGATTCTTCCCCTGCTGGGATATTAGTTCCTGGGGGCTGGCGACTAGGAAAGCTCTTGTGATCTCATCGCTGACCGCTCATCCGTTCTCTTTCCAGGATCTCAGGGCGCAATTTTTCGACTGATAAGTCATCGATTACACTCTGGTATTTCAACGGAATTCCCTCAACATGTCGAACTCGAGCAAGAATGATACGCAAGGTGGGACAATCACTAACATGACGCGTCGACACTCAGCCGACGAAGTTGTCCGAGGTGGCTTCTTCATGCGAGGCTTAGCAGGTAATACTCGACAACACTCCCGAGAGACAATACTATTCATGGAATCAGTTCTCTAGAAATTTCGTTCTCGAATATGTATCGGGTCGTTGCTTTCAAAAACTCAGGATGAGCCTCCCCCACCTCCCTCGAATTATCCGGTATTGATCGACCTGTCGGAAACTCTCTTGAATGTAGACGTTCTTTCAGGCATGGGTTCACGAATCGGACGTGAGCGCACCGTCTCCGAAGTTGTACATGAGACCCATGAGTCCACACCGCCGACGGAATCATCGCAGAAAGAGAGGAGAATCTCGGTCATGTCGCTTTGTCCAATATAAATTCAAGAGATGCAAGAACATTCCGAGTTGATGAGAAACGGGTAGGAGAACCAGAGAGCTCCGGACAGGAGGTCGGACTCGGATCATGTGATGCCCGCTGCCTCTCCACGAGGTCTATGCGAAAATCGACCGCGTTCGGCTAGCGTCCGAGATGGCTTCCGTGAAGTCAAGCTCATCGCCTTCCGATACACATTTATGCTTATCTGTGTAAGCTCCGTATTCAAGAGGACGGATGATTATATTTTTTCCTCAAAACTATATGTATGAATCGTTGAATGTTATACCACCCGCGTGGCGCCGGGGCTCTTCGACGACTGCTCTCGGAAGCCGCTTACACATCGATCACAAACACACAATCAACCAAACAGGTATACTCCTGGACACACACACAAGACGCTCCCCCAAAGCAAAGCCCTGTATCCGACCGCGAAAATTCCAGCTGTGGATTAGGGATGTTCGGAATGCGGTCGATCCCCGCCATTGGTATCCCGGTATTGACTGAAGAACAATTCTAGCATCGGATGCTCCTTCTTTTGAGAAATTGTGGAAAGCGAGGGTGATACTCGCGAAACCGTTGTCGAAGCAGCTAGTCGATTTTTTTTCTTATTCAGCCATTTGTCTTCCGGGGCGAGCGCGTGAGTTCTTGTGTGTGCTGCTCGTCTGTGAACTCGCTTCTGCGTTCGATGTTTTAAACAGAGACGCACTACACAATAGGTAGAAGAGACAGATGCTGAGCATGTTAACGGAAGCTCCCGGAACGAGCTTCCAGAGACCGTCGACTGAAGATCGGAAAGCTTGTGGTCGAACACTTTTGTTCTGTTCTTTCCCTCGTGCGGGCCAACATGTTGAGTGGGGCGCGAGGGACTGAGTCGATCGTCGTCGATAGATATCCGGTGTGAGTTAACGATACATAGATTCGTTCTACGTCTTCGTGCTCGAGCGACTTTCGGGATCGGCGTCCCTGAACGGTCAGCATGTAATGTGAATAAGACAACTGTGTAACTAATGATGGATATCTTGTAATTATGGATGGACACTCTTTCAAAGATATCACGCAGGACCGAGAAAGAGAACAGTCATTTTCACGGTACTCTGAACAGATTGTGGTAAGGACGTTGAGGTAATAAAGTCGGTACTCGTGTACCATGAAACAATCAGTTTTCTCTGCTGCGCTCGTTGATAGCCAAACTTCTAGTCGGGTGGTTCCGTTCATAAGACACATTCGTAGACGGTGCCCGGCCTATGAGGACTCTCGTCCCAGCATCCCCGAGATGGCACGGGAATCGAAAATTTCCATCCCGTGAATTCGTTCATGATCGTGGTCATGGTCCTAGATCATTGTCTCCGCACTCGGAGAGTCATCGGGCGGAACAAAGCGCGGGAGCCGCGTTACTCGATGGGGTTCTCTCCGAATAGAAAACTCTCAGAATTACTCCCTGCAGACTTCCTTTTATTTTACACTATTAAGTTAGAATCTTTACAAGTTCATTTCGCAAAAATTCAAATATCTCTTCCAGGCCACCTGTCCCTGACACGCTCATTTGATAATCATTCTCTTCCTATCTGCCATGATTTCCAACTGCATCACGTCGTTCTCGAAACAAGTTTCTACACATCTCGAGATCTGTATCTTTTCTCTGTACAAATTATTCATTTACAGGCGCGTGATATCCAACCAGCCGGCTCGGAAGTCATAACCACCCAACGAGCCGAATGCCATTGGATCGCCGCGGCGTCCGGCGAGCGGAACATTTATCCATTCAGAGTTCTTGGTGTTCCTTCTGTGTGAAAAAGTGATGGGTCCTATGTTGTTTCTGCGACAGATCACCTCCTACGCGATTGCGCTCTCTGGATTACACTCACGCAGTTCCGCACAGCTTTCGACACCGTCGGAATTTCTCGGATTGCTCTCTTTTTTCCGATATACAAATTTTCTTCCCTCCATCCCTGAATAAATTACACATCCTTACAAACTCTAACTCGTCTCTCTTACAATAGTGACTTGGTGGGCCTGAGCCCTGAGGCACACCTTATGCCACAGGAAGCCTGGAATGGCCTAGAATGGCGTAGAAAGCAACATACTCATTCACTCTCACACACACATAATAAAGCTTTGCCAAACTGCTCTCGGGAAAGAGACGTTAGGCACCCTGCTTTCCGGAGGGAGATGGCCCCCTGATTCTGTTCGTGACAACTCGTCGACCCAACTTGACAACCTTACTAATATTTACAGAGAGCGAACTCTTATGTACAAATACATGGACCGGCTTGATCGGATCTGGGTTTGCCTAAAGTTCTCAACACACTGACGTGGGCTGGCCCTCCATCGTGCACGCGACGTTGTGCAATTTGTGGGCGAGGTGCATGTTCCGACATTGCGGATCACTGTCCAGTGAGAGCAGCACGTGGTCACGGTACTTGGCCGCGTACACGTACAACTCCTTGACGGCGATGTTGGCGTCGAATTCGCCGCCGTATTGCAGGCTGAGCTGCTGCAGATGGACGCAAAGATCCTGATCGGTGACAGTGGGCATCATGGCCAAGCAGTGGTAGAAGTCGCAAACCTTCTTTCGGTATCGAGGTATATCTTTCGCGAACAGCAGTTTGTTCGACGGAGAATCCTTGCCGAGTCGATGCTCGGTCAAAGAGCACGAATCCATGAGAGTTTGCGCGATCACAGAAAGACAGCTGTCAACGACGGGCGTCTTGTTGACATCCAAAATGAAGTCGGGATTTTTGATGAAGTTCACCCAGAATCGAAGAGGTAGACAATTACTCTTCCACGCGTGCGGTACTTCGGGATCGGTGATACCGTGCAGCATCGATGCTTCGTCCAGAAGATCGAACAGCCATTTGATAGCAGGTGGCAGCGCCTCGTTCGCCGACAGGATGGTGGTGAAGAAGTCATCGACGTACTTCTGAATTGTTCCTTTCGTGGACAATAGTCTCGTGAGGAAAATTTCTGGTATGGCTTTCGTGTAAGCCTGGTCGTTCTTCTTGTCGTCGTCGTTTTTAATCAGATGCCAGTACTTGAGCCCGTTCTCGACGTCCGAATGCGCCGACGAAGAAGTGTGGCTACCTCCGTGAGTGGATTTTATGGTGGCGTAGACGTTCTGCATCGTGTTGTGTTGGTTGTTGGCTAGCACCAGTGTCGACATCGAGTTTAGTGTCAGGTCCCCGGGGTCTGCAAACGATCTCAATTTCTTAGAATTTTCCCTTTCGAGCCAAAGGGAGGGGAAACAATTCTGATAATAATCATACTAGTTATTATTATAGAACAATCAAGATGGGAATGCATCCGAGATGCGACGCATAGCCGAACTTACAGGCATTGAAACTGTCGTTTTGCTTGCTGACGAGACTCATGATGGCGAAGTCCTTCACGCCGTAGTGGCGGAGGGTGTTCATGCGTCGCCATCCGTTGATGGTTTTCGTCGTGAGATCTTCGTCTTGAAGTATGAGGTGTCCACCTCGACCGTGACGCCATTCGAGGTCCACGTCCTGAACGTTTGGCCTCAACGAGTGCGCCGTGTTCTTGTACAGGGCGTCGAGGATCTTATGCTTGACCTGCGAGATGGTGTCGCAGTCGTTGACGCGGCAGACGAGTTTGTCGCCCTGCTCTTCCTGGACCACGTGAACAGTGACCGTCGCGTAGTCGACCTGTTCACGTAAAAGTCTAGCTTCGAAGAGCGAATACCGGGCGTCGTGGGTGACTGCGTCCACTGGTCCCTTCTCGACCTGATACTTGATTGCGCTGAAGAGCAGAAACAGTGAGGAGCCGGCGAAGTCCTTCAGGTAGTCATACATTGAGATGGCCAGCCAATTAGTCAACATCTTTTCCACCACTGATTCCGTTCTACGCAGCATCAACTGAGGATGTTTCGATGAAGTCGACCTCTCGATCAGCTGAAGTAACAGTGTACGCAGGATACTGGAATCGAATAAAGGTCTCCGTGAGTATTCATAGTCAATTGCTTCACTCTTGTCAAAGGGGTAAGCAGAGAGGACAACACGAGTGGGGAAACGTAACGACAAGATGAAGGAAAATCGTCACTTACTCTGTGCCGTATTCGAGCTTGTTCATGAAGATCACCATGAGAAGAGAAGCCACGTTGACTCTGTCACGGATTGTGAAACTGGCCTGGTTCTCCAACGTGTTGATGAAATTGATGAGGAAGCTCTTGTTGAAAAGCAGCTGATGGAACTGCGTCATTGCCACTTCGTAGTTGTTGTAGTAGCCGTTGTTCGAGAGTTTGTTGTCTCGCAACAGAGGATGGTCGAACACTCCGGGGAAGAACACTTTCATCACATACGCCCGATGGTCGAGTGTTGGCACTCCCATCGCGTACAGATCGTTCGTGAGATCTGTCATGTCGGTCTGGAGCTCGGCGAACGCCTGCTTGCATTCGATGCGTACGGATTTCTCGAGATCGTCCATCTGCAGTTGAATACGTTTGTATTCTCTCTCGGCCTGAGTGGACTTGTGTCTCAGGAGAACGATGATGAACAGCGACACGACCGTTAGAAGAATTCCGACGGCGGCGATGGCGGCAACCGCCTCGCTAGGCAGATCGCCTCGTTTCGAGAATTCGTAACGAAGGTATCCGATCACATAGAGAAGATTGGGTCCGATGCGAACGGTTACGAGCGGCAGGTCGTTGCGGCTCTCCTTGCCATGCCAATAATTGCTGTAGGCTTGCGGTTGCTCGGTCGGAGGTAAGCAAACGAGTTGGTTGTTGGCCACCGAGGTGATGTTGCAGCGTTCATCGCCGATGTGAACCGAAATCTCGTTGTCTTCGCGAAGTCCGTGGCGGATGTTCATGCCCTCGATGACGAGAGACTCGCCTTTGTACAATTTCACGTGACCGGCGTTGTCGAACGGATAGAAAAAGGGATCGGGAACGTACACCATCTCGGAGATTAGCTCGGGAAAGTTTCTCGGCAGGTCTCGCACGCTGGATACGTTGTCCATGAGGAAGCCTATTTTGAAGCGCCACTCATCGAGTAGAGCTTCCGACTCGATGCCCCTACGAGCGGCGGGTCGAGCCACGAAAATCTCTGAATTCACTGGCGGTGATGAGCAGTACATGATTGAACTACTTTCGACTTCGCAAGACGTTTCGTTAATAATGTTATCGTTTGAGAAGACGGCGATTTTCGGCGCGATGATCGCATCGAAATTACTTCCTGTCACTCGAATGCGGCGACCACCCGACACGAAGCTCTTCTTGGGCGTGATATCGATTATCTTCGGGTCGTTCACGTAGATGAACGGGTACCGTAGCAGTCTGGTCGAGTTGTCGATTTTCAACGTGAGCGTAGACACGTTATACGGAATTTCGGACCGTGTCGTCGTGCACGAGATCTGCGAATTCGAGGCGAGGGTCTTGTCAACGATGCACGGCTGATTGTCCAGGTACACTTCGACGTTTGATCCGATATTGAGGTTCTGTCCCGAGATGTACAATCGGGTTCCGCCCGATTGCGGGCCCATTTTTGGATTGACTTCGTCCAGGGTGATTTCCTTGTAGGAGAACTTCTCTTTCGCTGAACTTAATCCCGCCCGGTTTCCAACGTGTACTTCCGCTGTAATGGCGCCGTCGGCGGGTCCGGTTATGCAGGACACCTTGACAGAGACCGAGTAGTCGACGACACGGCACGGTACGCCTCCCACCGTAATTTTGTCTTCGATTTCCTCTCTCGAAGTTCCTAGGTTACTTCCTTCGATTGTTATCAGGGTTCCTCCTTGGATTGGTCCGCTGAGCGGATGGATCTGCGGAGGAAAAGAAACGATTTTTAGCAAAGTGTCCCTCGGCTCCTTTGGATGCGACACAACCCCTCCCCCTCCCTTCGACCGGAAAACAGATCTCATAGCCGAATTTCATGGAGGTTCTACGCTATCCCCTCCGTGATTCAATCAACGGAGATTCTGGTGTCCTCAGAGCGACTGAACCGCTTGGCGAATTCATCTGAACGCCGCTCTTTTGCACATCGCTCCGCTAATTGAAAGTTTGGAAGGCGCTTCCGCGGGAATGCCTACGTTCGCTCTCGTTCCATTCTTTCATCAATCCTTTCGTCCGACCTTCTATCAATCTATTTAGCGGCATTCCCGTTCACTTGGATCGCTCATCAATCTGTCCACCGCGGTGTCCATCAATGTACTCATCTGCCGGTTCGCCTATCGAGACGTTCATTTGGCTGAAGTCATCTCGGCATCAGGTTATGTAATTAACCCACAGCGGCCGGCGATGGCTTACACGGAGGTGATAGCGGCGGTGGTGTCGGGCGACGACGACGACGACGACACAGACCAACAATAGCCTCGAATCAAACCTGTCTAATAGTTGTTCAGCAATTTTGCAAGTTGACTGCCAAGCGAGCAGTCGACCGAGGGCTCGGTAGTGACCGAGCTGGCCCGGCTGTGCGACGACGCACCGGCGAGCGGTAGACCGGCCGGGTGTCCGGGCATCGAGTTGGCTCGTTGTTCGTCCTGCACCGAATAAACACGACCGGCCTCCGTTGGATTAATCTGCTTGGTTGAGTCTCCTGGGAAGGCGACTTACAGAGCCGAAATGGCCGAATTGTGATTAAAGCTTATTGGCCAGGCATCGCAATACGCGCCGGGCTTATATGCAGAGGCCGTGCACATATGTCACGTTCTCGGTCCCTTCTCGTCCTGCCGGCTCGTGCAGACGAACACGCCAAGAATATCCTGCGCTGCACGTCGTCTAGACCATATCTATCTGCATATAGCCACATCCGATTTCTGACCGAGCCGGCCCGACTGGGAATGTCGTGGCCTGAAATAATCCATTGGCATCGGCTCTTGTCCCGCTCGCTCACTCATTTACTCCTTTCATTCAGTTCCTTGTGCCACCGACCCGCTGTTGGTCAGCTCCGGGGCGAAAACGCCGCGCTAGCCGAGCGCCCGCATGCACGAAATTCAATTTGACTGGCACGAGGGAAACAAAGAGATGCCTCAGTTCGGGAAGCCAACTTGAAATCTCGTTGAATACTTGAACAGGAGAAAGATGAGGCTGGAGAGACAGGGCCCCCGCCGATTGAACAGTTTCACCGAGAGCGGCACGGCAGCCTCCTCCTGGAGCAACAGCTGTTCAATTATTCTCAGAGCAAGGTCGTCGGTGGGTCGCGTCCCGCTTCTCCGCGAGGATGTCCGCTCGCTCGGTAGGACAAGTCTAGGAAGGAAACCGTCTGGTGGGGGTCGTTTCAAAGAGGACGACGACGCAAGAATCCATCCGATCAAAGAAGTTGAATTATCAGTTACTCAGTCAGACAGTCAGTCAGTCAGTTGCTCTGTCAAACAGAGCCGCTGACTCGGAAAATTATTCTGCCAGGAGAACCCTCAGCTAGTCTGGCCTATAGTTTCGTAGAGTTTTCACACAATGAAAACGTGCTACTCTCGGAGGATCGACGCGTCAGACCCGAACGACGGTGCTCTGAGTTCGGAGCGTTCTTACGCAGAGGACATTTCGAGGAGTTTTTGAATCGAGCGAGCGAGGAAGGGAGGGAAGGAAGGAAAAAGAGTATCCAAATAATGACGGGCGGCACACTGTCGCTCCGACCGGCTCGAGGCACGAGGGGCTGGAAGAGACCCGCGAGATAAATTACATCGATTTCCATTAGTCCCGAAGCTTTAATTGAAAATGGACCCATGGCCACGTCGGTCGGTCGTCTCGTACAGATGGTTCGGACACCTGAACACGGAGTGACTCGGAGATTTTTTTCGGCGAACCTCGACCCATTCGTAGCTTCCACGTTTCTTGAGCGTTCGCGGTACGACATTCATTGCGCTTTTTCCTCATCGAATTGAATTATGACGCCGGAATCGAACTCCGTCCTCGATCGGTCGTTGAACGTCCCGTGGATGAGGAACGAGGAGCCTCGTGACGATCGCGATCGGAGTTCTCACAGCCCGTCGAAGCTGTATCCGACCGACGTTAGTCGCTCGGTCGCTTTCAGATACGAACCCCGACACTCCGGCAACGGGACGGCGCTCGAGCGATCGGGCTCGTCCGGGAAGCGACGAGTCCGCGCGAACAATAGTTGCGTTCAATGAGATCGTTCGAATTTCATGTGTGTACCTACATGAACGCACCGAAAAAACACGCACGCGATACAAGAAAGCGACCGAGGAACGTGGGAGAAGCCGCAGAAACATAACGGGATCCCAATGGATGAGACAAACGCCTCAACTCAGAATTCTGACATCAAGTGTCCAGCATCGATCACGTGCCCAACGGAAACAAAGAGCCCCGTATATCGTCGACGTGGGATAAGTGAAGCCCGATTCCGCAGCGTTTCTCCGGATTTTTTCTTAACCCGAAGGAAAATGTTCACAACGAGAGAAAATAGCCGCCGATCATGTCTTGAGCTCTGCTCCAGCGTAAATCAAGAGCAGCCGACAGATGACCGACAGCGCGCGCTGCAAATTACCACCGCGGAAAGCAAGATATTTTTCAGAAAATACAGAAGACGCGATCAAGGCTGAACGCGACGATCCACGGAAAGACTGACTGACTGACTAGGCGACCGAACGAAGCAAAGAGCGACCATCTCGTCCGACGAAAGGAAACAAATGGCCACAAGTCTGCCGTCGGGCAACAACCATCCATGGATGATGATGATGATGTAGCTGATGATGTTCATCATGAAAATCAAGCCGTGGGGTGGCAGCGTTTGTGGCGACTACGGCGCGTCCATCAGATTAGAAGGTTTCGCGCAATTTTAGCGCTACCATAATTTTGTCACAAATTGCCCGACGAATTGAGATGTCTCTCTTCTACCCGGGATCATCTTCTGAATCGAGACGTGGCTTATGATTCCGTGCGCGGAACGAGCGGCCGCTCGCTCGCGATTACCGGAGCACGGTTAGTGCGAGCAATTTCGGTCCCGATATTTTCGATTCATTGTACGTGGCTGATCTTTTCCCGTTCATTGTTCCCGCTGATCCGATCGACCGAGGTCGCACGGTGCCATTCACATACGTAGTGTCTCTCCGATAGCTGCGAGAGTCTAACGATGCCACGTTTGTCCACGCGCCTCTTTGTTGCGAACGGATGACCCACGAGTGGAATCGCGTTCCTGAGCGTGTTCGAGAAGAAGGAAAAGCGAAGAAATACAAAATGATTTATTCAGAGCCCATGACCTTTCGGACAGACACCCATGGATCGCTTGCACTTGTCTATCGCTCGCTCGGAGGCGAGCGGGTCGTTTGGTCAGTGGTCGTCGGTGGCGGCGGCGGCCAGATGAAGCTCTTGCGGGACACCGATGTAGAAACAATAACACTACATGGCGGAGAAAAAACGAATTGCTCGGTCCCACCGCAACATCGCTTGGCACCCGTAGCGGCCGCCGGCCGGCCGTTCGTTCGACCAGAAGAAAGAACCGAGCGAACGAAGAAAATAAAACATAACGGCCGACCGTAATCGTTCGACGGCTCCGCATCGCCATATCGTCCATGTTTCTGTCGTCGGAATCCATCTCGATCCGAAACGGCTTATCCGCGAACGAGCGCGATGATTCCGCATGGAGCGAGAAATTATAGTGCGAAATGTCATCATCATCATACACTGACAGCTAACACGCCGATGGACACCGACCGATCGATCCGGCACCGTTATGATTCCGTAACCGTCTTCTGATGAGCTGCTTTCTTTCGGAGCGAACTCTTTTTGTCGGCGACCTCTTTCCCATATCGTCTTCGATTCGGGAGCATTGGCTCCATGGATGTGCAAGCAGCTTTGTCGACGATTCGTCCGACTCTGAATATACGAACGGTTCGCGGGTGTAAACAAGCCGAGCCCCGCGAAATCCGCGACCTCGATCCGCTGTCCTCATCCCCTTCGCTGCCGTTGCCGCCCCGTGCAGCGAGCCCGATGAAGTGACGACGAGGTGAACTTTCGAGAATGGTCGCCTTCTGAGTTGTTTCAAGTACGCATGAGATAGCCGGGACCGGGAACGCTCGGAACCGAACGATATCGATACCCGTACCTAATTCCCAAATATCAGACGATACACCTCAAGTCCCGTGGTACCCAGGGACGACAACGAACAACGCGGTTGTTCGGCACGAGCACGATCATGCGCTTCTCCCCACGAAGAATCGTCGCGAATCAACGTTGATGGGAAAGAATCGCTGCCTTGAAATAAACGGCCTTCCGCCTTGTCCCGAAAGTACTAAGAGTCTGTTTGACTGCACGGGTTGCGGGCTCACGTAATGAGTTCAAACAAGGATGGATACAGCCCGTTTCGGGACTCTCACACCGTTCCCCCAATATCATCAATGGTGAATGGTTGCCCTTTTTCCCTCATGCCGCGAGGAGATCCAAGGAACAGAAGAAAAACGCGAGCGATCCCGGCCGTACGGAGTAATGGCATACCGCGATGAGGATTCGACGCCGTGGAATTGTGCCATTCTAGTCAACCGGGATGGAGATTTTCGGGGGCTAGCTGGCGGATCTATCACGGACCTAATTTAGTTGAATTGCGATCAGTACTCACCCAATCGATTCTAGGTGGAGGGCAGGTGGTCTGCACAGGCTCGGAGCAGGAGGGTCCATAGCTGCATTGGTTACCACACCAGCTGCATTCGTACTTTGGGTCTCTGGATGCGCACAGAGAACAATCCCCTCGGCCGGCGTGAGATCCAAGTAATGAACATTTGTACAAGGTGACATTGGTGCGTCCTATGAAGGTGTCTCGATTCCAGAGCACGGTGAGCTGAGCTTGCACTTCGCCCGTCGCCTCTCGGTACGAGTATTCGGTTTCAGCGCAGATGACTCTGTTTTGGCGTACCGATGCTACCACCTTCGTCTGACGTCCTTCAATGTCGATCAGGCACTCGAAATTATCCTGCAACGAGAAGATGATCCGTTAGGACTGGTTGGGCTGCTTAACATCGTCATCGAGGAGGACGAGACGAGACTCATTCGGATGGGTTCCGAGCAAGCTCGAAAGGAAGTTCCGAGAAAGCTTTCCCGCTGAATTCACGTGCAGAAAATCCGTGGGAATCCCCGAGGAATCGAAGGAGCTCGAATTCCGGCACGTTCCGAGAAAGGCACCTATTCTCGAATTCTCGGAAAACCGATGTGTTATACCGGCCACAAATTGCCTGCCAGAATAGTCGGTCTCTGTTCTCACGTTCGAGAAGCTTTCCGACACGACTTCCGGGCCAATAGCGTCCCATAAAAACAACAATGTCCGTTCCTCTCCGTATCCCGTCGAACGTCGCTCCATCGCCTCCGCCCTCGAGGCTTTTGTACAGTCAGCAGTGCGTTGCTTGCTCTTTTTTGATTCACAAACACTCGTCGCACCGACTGCTGGCGCTGAAAAGCCCTCCGAGCTGCCGCACCACCGTCGGATGGATTGCGATTCATTGATTGAATCTGTCATCTCCGCGACGGATTCCTGCGATTTTTCCCCCATCGAATATCAGTCCGCGCGACTCTGGAAACGCAGCAGTTCCTTGACGGGGACCGGTGCGCACTCTCTCGTGACGAGTAAAATCGAACAGGGAACAATGACCAGACGGGAAACCTCGATGAACTGCTTCACGATATTCAGGGAATATCGTAAGCGGTCGAACATCGCTTCACGAGAGCGGAGCCGGTTCCGGTTTCACGATGTTGAGCTTTCTTCTAATCGCTGTTCGAGATTAGGATACGGCGACGAACGCTTTCAAAAGCGCGGAGCGCCCGATCCCAGAACAGGTTCTGAGCGGCGGCGACGGCACCACGAGTTTCGACGGGAAACGACATCGGTTTGAATTGAGCGGCGAGCGCCGTTTTTAATGCTGTTAGAGACAACACTCCTCTCTGTCATCAAGCCGCGCCAGCAACGAAACTCTGTCTCGCCAGTGAACCGCAATTATGCACTTATGTCAGCGCAAAAACGCACTATTTGCAGATACAAATTGATAAGAATCGTCGGACGAAGACGACTCCCCCCGAGGAAATGCGTTTCGAGGGGAGCGAGCGTCGATTGGACGCCGGTCTTCTGCTGGATAGTTGCGTTGTACTAGTAGCGGTAGTAGTTCAGAACGTGGAGCACAATGGCGACTGTCAGAACAACGACGGATTGGAGAACAAGTACGCCGCAGTAACAAAAGCCCACGACAGAGTTTGCTAAACTAGAGAGATAAGCTCATAAAAGAAGAATAAAAGAAGACTCTTACCGCAGGGCTTGGCAGGTTGCGAACTTCGACGGTCACTTCGGATCGTGAACCGTCTGCCAGAAGAAGTGAGTTGTTCACTTCGAACGAAGGACAATAGGCGCGACCCTTGTTCATGAGGTTGTCCACGGGATTCTGCAAATCGAACAGACAGTTCGTTTATATTCGTTGATGATGAACACATACGTCGGACCTACTGTCCGCTGCGCATCGCATGCGAAAATCACTGATAGAGCCCTCGGAGCTACTTCAGCAGTTTCAGATACGTATCTATCCGGAGCCGATATCTGACCGGTTAGCGGTGACGGAATTTGCGGCTGAACTTCTCGGACGCTCCGAGTTCGAAGAGCTCTTACTCACAGAGTCATGTACTACTCTCTAGAACGGGCTCTGTCTCTCATGCCCATGGACCATTTATTCTCCTCCGGTGGAACCCATGGCGGGAGGACGTATATTCGGTACTCTAAAAGCGAGAGCTGCCCAATAATTTGCATGGAGTTCGAGCTCCATCAAGGAGGAAGTCTACTTCGTATATAAGTTTCCTGAGTTTTGCGAAACTTTTTTCCCCAGACCACGATGGACAAAAGGCCCGCCTATCAGCCCGCCGGCCCGCCCGCTCGTTCGCTTTTGTGAGAGTTTTCAAGAGCAAATATTTTCATCGGGAAAAACGAAGCGAAATTCTAGCCGCCTGATCCGCTGTGTACGACCCTTCGCTCGATAATTAAACATCTTAATGATGAGCGTTTTTCTCCTGAAAACGCTCACAACGGCGGCGGCACCAACAACAGCATCACCGACGGAGAGTTTCTTCTTCTGTGGGCGTAAAAGCGGTCTTCTTGGCGAGCCCTGCCATCCGCCGCCGAAAGCAACGAGAGATCTATCTTTCCTTCCTTCTATTCCTCGCTGTGTTTTCGGTGCATGCCGAGCCGATGATTCTACGTGAAACGAAAATGCTCTCCTTCGTTTCCAGTCCCCCCCCTCATTCGAATCCATTTACGCCTGTGGAGAACAACTAATTCCCAGAAGATGTCTGTTCGGCCTTCCTCCGCTCAGCCGTTCCTTTTCCGCGTCGTGTTCGTAACACACGACCTCTCCCAACAACCTAATCCCGCTCGGGGTCGGCACAGGCGGTGCGTACTTACGTACCGAGCGTGCGTTCTACGCAATGCAAAAACGTTCTCAAGCCTTGCTAACCCCAGGGTTCCGTTCCTATTACAATTGCACGGTCGTAATCTCCCTACGTTCCTGGAGAACTTTGCTTGGAGGGACCGATGGACGGACGCATGGGGAGCGAGCCAGCCGGAGGCGGATAGGTAGGTGAGCGAGCGGGCTGGTGAGTTTTGTGAGAGGCGCATCGGGTGGGTAGCCAACCGACTGGCCTGTTGTTTTTGCGAATTTGCCTTTTTGTGTTCGAGCAGCGCGCAACGACTCGTTGGGCCTGTTCGGTGGTAGTCGTAGATACGTAGAGCTCCGGCATCGTCGGCGTCAGGAATATTATCATTAGTCAATCGCAAAGTTCCCCTTGCTAACGATTGCTCGGTCGCACTTCAGACGCAAGTGCTCGAGACGAGCAACAAGGTGAATAATTCGGAGCCCCGATTGACCCCTCCTTTGACGTCTACGTCACACAGCGCTTCGACGGAACGGGAAACCTCCGGGCTCTTTTCGAATGAAAATACAGAGAATGCGTTAGGGAAAAAAAACTCACATTCTCCCCGAGGATGACAGTCTTCGAGCAGGACGAAGTGTCTGAGGTGCACTTGTTATCCGAGAAGCACCAATTGCAGGCGAAACGGGACGTCACGCAGGATCCGCAGGTTTTGTGTGCCGAACAGTCGTAGAATGTGAACGGTCTTTGGAGGAAATCTTTTTTGGTCTCCGACGAGCGGATCGCCAGCAGTGTATCAACGGAATCCATGTTGGCAGGAACACGAGGCCGACTGGAGACGGATGGAGTTGCACACATCAAACCGTTCGGAGTCACTCTTGCCTGGATCGGCACTTTATTGTCCGTACCGAACACACAGATGTAGAAAGCGCCGTTGGGCAGCTGTGGCAGTTGGTTGATGGAGATCTCGATCGACGACGTGGCCGAGACCGCCAGCTGCTCGGGACGAATCCACTGGAAGTCAATACATTGCTGCGAATCCAGCGAAAGCCACCGAGTAGCGGAAAGACGGTCTTCTACAATTGAAGGGCTGTGGCACGCGGATTTCACGGCGCATCTGGAACGAGAACGTACGTGAGTCTCTTCCTTGGGCCAAGATTGGCGTTCCCGGGCTTTTCCTCTGTCCGTGGAACCCGTTTGGAAATTCCTCGATGTAGACTTGAATCGAAAACTCGGTCTCACCTTTTTTCTAGAGAGCACCATCCGCAATAAGGATTTCTCGCCTGGAGGCAGGCACTGCACGTATCGTACTGCTCGCACTCGGTCACTTTCAGTTTGGCGACCTGTAAGGGGAATCCAAAAAATAGCCTTCAGGCTAAAGCTCGAAGAATAGGAACGGAAATCAGAGTGAGTACGTCTCGTTGGCCGACGAGCTCTCGCGTCAACCCGAAACCGCCGCAATGTCCGCCGTTGCTCCATTGCTTCCTAGACCACCCGCGGCTGCTGAAATTGAGCTTCGTACCCCGAAGGCATCTACTCACTGACTGACTGACTCACTCACTCACAGACTGAACAATCCGACCAAGCTGATTCTGAACGGAGCGTTCCTCCGTAAAGAAGCAACGCCGTCGATTGGAGAATTAGCGCCTCGCTGAAGTCACGGCGACTTTTCAGGGAAATGCGATCGTGGAGCATCTAAGAAGTGGCTTCTCCTCAGCCTGAGCGGGATCGGCGGAAAACTCAAGGAAACGACCACAGAACGCTCCAATATCTATTTCCGAGAAAATTCACATGACCCATATCGAAACGAACTGAACATACGAGCGATTTTCCCCGGGCACACGGAGCACTGCTCCTATTCCTGCCCTGCATCGGAGCTTCCCTCTAGAGAGCCAACTCTCGAGCACGGAAATTTTCGGGGCGAGAATATTCGCCCCCGTGCTTGACGGATGGCCAGGTTATCCCGGGATCGCTCGGCATGCATCGCTCAAGTACTTAGGTGATATTGTTCCGCATCATCTTCTTAGCGCGAAGAGCCCCGCTTTCGCGAGAGTCATACATTGGTTGCAGAGAGGACGCGATCAACAATGAACGTATCGAGCACGAATAGAAAACAATCACGCTGGACAAGTATAAAAAAAACTCTATCTATACCCGTCATAGCGTGTCCACAAAAGAATAATCGCTTGCTTCAGAAAAACGCTTCGTAGAGACAGCTAGCTACAACGTCGACCCAAATGGCGCTCGCTCTATTCGACTTTGTTAGATCGATATGGGAGAATTTTGATTTGAATCGAAACATTCGACGGGAGCCGGAGCTATTCGAACGGATATCTATTATATCTACATATAGGAACAGCCGCTCCCGAAACAAAAAAAAAATAACGCGCCATCGGGTAAGTAACCAGGCGCACCTCTTCGGTGGATGTGGCCATTGAAAGAAAAAACTCTTGCCTTCTGTGTCTGACTGAGAGAGGACTTTTGACCAACACAGAACACTACATCGTCGAGCAGCGTCCGATAAAAAGAGTAAAAAACGAAGGGAAAAGAAAAAGAGGACTGCTACATTGAGAGACCGAACTCTCCGGTCGAAAACAAAAAACAGAAAACTTGCTCTATAGATTCAAAACCAGAGCGTTGGATTCGTCGTAGTCTCGGCGGGTGCGCACCGGGCTTGGCGGCGTAGCCGTACTTTCCGTCCCCCTCCGCTCGGTCCATCCGTTTTGTGAAGCACCGGCGCGGCGCTCAAATCTTTTCCCTTTTTCTTCTTTAATTCAGATGAGAAGTTCATCGAAACAACGGATCTATCATTGTGAGTGATAGCGGTCGAATCAGCGGCAACCGACGCTGGGATACACATCCCGTCCCGCGACTAATAACTTCCATATTCGGACATAGAACAAAGTCTTTCCCTGAGCATCCAATCGAGGGCCTCCAATTTTTCATTTACCCGGCCTACAGCGAAACGGAAACCTCAAAAAACTCCTCGGTGTACAATTGACGTACGAGAAGGATGAACATAGGGGTCGATTAAGGCTCGTATCAGCTGACTCAATTACGGAATCCGTCGCCGAAAATGGCGAGTACGCAGCAGCGCCCGAATCGCTATCGATCTGCGAAAACGTCCGGTCGTATTATGTCGGAGTTCCCGGCCCGAATTCTCCGTCGCCAACCCGTCCGGCTAGCTCACAGGAGGAGCTCTCCATCGTCTCAGTTTCGCATGCTCACGACATATCGTGTCTGGTCGGGCAAGAGTTCGTTTTCCCGCAGCTCGCATGGAGATGAACTTCGTTCGCACAACTCCTCCCCGTGAGACTTTCGAATGAGGACATTAACAGCAGCGGCAACAAGAGGAAGAGATATGACGCCAGAGAAATATCATGCCAAACTTTCAGTCCGAAGGGTCTTATCTCCTCCAGATAAGACTTTTAATTCGCCTAACGGCGGTCAAGAAACGACATGGCGGATCTGAGATCAGAGACGTCAAACTCGAGCAGACATCGGGACCGGCTTCTTGGACGACGGACGGAGCTGCCATGTTTTCCGAACGACCAGACAGGAGATCATGACATGAACTAGCAGGGGCGAGAGTAACGCGCGAGAATCTAGAGCATCACCATCGAAACCGAGGAAGATGCTAAAAAGGAGCAATTAAGCAATAACGCGATGAAAAAGCAAGAGCAGGCGCGGGTCTAGGCGATGCAGCCAGATAAGATCTTCATACAGAGCCGTTGTAGTAGTTATCACGCTCATCAAGTGTTTATCTGGTTGACGGGTGGAATTCCCTAGTCCTACGAATGTCTCTATCGCCTCTAGTTCCTTCTGGCGTGTAAAATGAATTTGCGCGACTAGCGTTCAAATGGACCGACACCGACGGGCAAGTTAAGCAGGAAGAGCCGAGAGTTAGGACGATGAGACGAGAAAAAAATTTTCCAAAGTGCTTCTTTGTGTCCGGGAGAGCTCTTCCTATCGCTCCCGTCGTCCATGCCGACTGGAGCTTGTGACTCCAGACTCACACGACCCCGGTACAGACTCTCGGGAACTACACGAAATAGATGAGTCTACTCCGAATCGAACTGCTCAGTCTGCATAGTCGGGATTCTTGTCGATTCTCGAGTCGATCCCGCTCATTGGGCCCGCTTATCTCTCCCGCGGAATTTCTCTCTCTCTCTAGCGGAGAAGCGGAGTCGAAAGAATGAAGAAAAAAACGGAATCTCAGCCGATGATCTAGCTGTCATTCGACTTCCGCACGAAAGAATTCCATTTCCGGATCCAAAGACCGAATCCACGCGGAAGAACCCATTCATGTTTCGCTCGCGATCTTCCCTCGAGTCTGAACCTCGGACATTCTCCCGGACGGCCGTTCCCCTCCAGGCCGCCGTTGAGGAGGAAGTCGGCTGGTTCTCAGTGGACCGCAAACTGCTTTTCACAATTCGAGAATCTCAACCATATGCGTCCGCACGATCCACCACAAGCGTTAAGAACACAATCCGACCCCGAACGAGCCAAAGTCAACTCTTCACTCAGGACTCTCTCGTGGACTGTTGAAAACCCTCAGCAACGGATCTCGTTCTTATTCCCTGCTCTCGAGAGACGACGTCCGAGTCGTGAGCTGTGGAGCCAGAACCTTACAGCGGCGTGCGAAGACACGCAGAGCGGAACGAGGAGCGCGGCTCGCATATTGCTCGAGTCGGAGCAAAGAAGAAGCTCAAGCCGCCTGGATTCGAGGAACATGAACTCGCAAAAGATTTTATTCGATGATGATGATTTGTTTTATCGAATGAATTTGACATCCAGGAGTTCACGGAATCGGTCCGATCGGCCAGAGCTCGCAGGAGAAAAGAAGCTGCGGCGCTCATGTGTGACTCCGTTCGACGAGACACACTCAATTCAACAGTAGAAACGGTCGGAGGACAAGAAAGCACTTGGGAATGATTAACGTCAATAGAGCGAAAACAGGGAGATCTAATGGCCATTAAGAAGCGGTGCCATTCTTTTAACCCTTGAAAGATGGTCGCTTCGCTCGATTCTCCGACAGCCGTGCGGGAAGCAAGCAGTTCTCCACTCACTCGCTGACTGACTGGATGGCTACCCACGATAGACAGAGGCCCGATCTCAGAAACTCCCAATGAATCCGAAGCAATAACAGACATTCAGAAAGGAATGAGCAGACGGACGGACTGACGAAGCAACCGACAAACAACAGAATAAGTGATTCCTAGTGAACAGTCGGATTTCGGCCGACGACGACGACGAAGAACAGCACAGCGGACGAAGGAATCGCGTCGGGGTGCGGCTATCGAGGAGCCCCAACGAGGCAGCCAACTTCACAACCATTTCAAGTCCACGAGCAATCGATTCAGATCAGAGTCTTTCGAAGCCCAGCTAAATGAGCAGATATCGGTAGGGAAACGCTTCTCTTCGGGGACCAGTTGTAGGAACCTACTCGCAAGCTGCTGCGTAGTGACGATCCGGTTGGTGATCGGGTCGGGCTACAATACGAGGACTGTCAATGGGTCTCGCTACCTAGACGAGCCCGGTCGGTGCGAAGGAAACTAACGGTCGTCGGCAAGGGTCGAACAGACCGATGATCATTGACCACCCCTGTTGCAGCCGCGGCGGCAGCGGCGGTAAGAACAACGCCAACAACATCGATGGCGACGACGACAACAAAAGTCTGATTTGATTCGGCAGAGACTCAAACTGAAATGCAATACCCTGACCAATAATGGGATTGTAGGATTCCTCCCTGTACTCGCAGCACATCGGTTTTGCCTCCATTACAACAACCACCACCGTGGTGGGTGTTTGGGGGTTGGAGCACAGAGCCCGAGCGAGAGTTCGGGGCGTTGCAAGGCTTCTCGCTGGATGCTATCAGATAAGTCCGAAATTAGGACTTAGGCTCCAGCCGAAATCCCGAGTGCGGTAGTGTCTCCCTCCGCGTCTGCTTGCTTGCGTGCTCGCTAGCTTGTCTGTCGGTCTTCCCGCCTGTCTGATCGACCGAGCAGCCGACCGTCTGTAGGCTTGACTAGGGGGCAACTCTGCCCGAAGTCCGACCATCCGAACGGAAAACTAACCTTGTACGGCGATGCGGCGTAGATGAAATCACCCCTCGGACTGAGGTGCATGTCCGCGATGATCGGATGAGGTCGATCTACATCTACCTCTTCGAATTCCTCTCCGACACCATCGGCTGACAATAGGATCTGCAAGGAGGGAAATAATGGAAATCAGTACCTGATAGGGTTGTTCTATGTTCGCTACTGGGGAGCTGTGAGGCATGGAATGGATTTTCATGTCGATCGAACGACTTCGTCTCCGTGGACGCCTTCGAACACCAATGCTCGCCGTTGAAGCCTTACGATCGTCCGTATCGTGACTTCATTCGGATGAGGGAGGACATGCTCGAGAAAAATGGCAAACAGCCGAGATATTGATAAAGAAACCCGAGCAGAGAACTCGAGTAGGATTTCCTCTCTGTTCAATAGCGGCTCGAATAAGAGTCATGGGAGCAAAGGAAAGAAAGAAAGAAAAAAATATAAGACGTGACCAGCTGAAAGGCTGCGATGTAGATGTGCAGCGAGGGATTGCCTCCGACTGAGGGAGGGAGTGAGTGAGGCTGGCAGACGGGCAGGGAATCCTCGCAAGAACGTATAGTAAGGTTTCAGAAGCCACACTCGAGCGAAATATGAATTGCACCAGCGAGTCAGGAGAGACGAGGGGAGTGAGCCGTGCCCGGCACGGAGGACTCGGTTGGGGTATTAGTTAGGCTTCAAATGCTTAGCTGAGATTTGCCTCTTTAGACAAAGCGGATTTGCGAGCACAAAAAAAGAGAACTCGGGAATATGAGAGGAATCAAGAAGGAACGGGGAAGGAGAATTTTCGGGATTGAGGCTACGGACCAGTCGATATGTCAAGAGCAGTTGCAATTACGTGCCGTGCCATGCCGCTACTCGTACAGCCGGTTTCCGCTAAGACGATCAGAGCCTCGACAAGCGTAACAACAACGCTAGTCGACGAAAAGCGAGCGGAAAAAAAACGGTGGGTATCCCTCCCGGGACACGTGACGAACACGTCTGAGCGAACGGGGAGCTCGAGAGGACAGCGGAGCGCCACGTAACGCGGAGGATCACGGAAGGATCGACGGCGAGGCTCCGTCGGTGAAGTATGAGCGGAGTGTAGGGTTCCCGACATCGGCACCGGGTTCCTATACTATTTCTTGCCGAGAAACTTTTCCGATGCTGTTCACAGATGATCCGTTTCAATTGAGCATCGATTTGGGGCCAGCGCGGAGAAAAAACGACTCGCACAATGGCGTGTATTCTGACGTCGACGTCGTTGTACGGAGCTGTGTTTTTCCTTTCCTATTTTTTGAATTTCGTGCCCTGAGCTCCTTGCCGGAGCTGGCGTCATGACTCGAAGTAGGAATTATTTTTCTCCTCTCAATCCTATTCTGTGACCGTTGTCGTTGTCCAAGTTCTTCGGATCTGGGATCCATGTTGAGGGAGGATGACAGAACGAGGGAGAACGTTCTCACGGAGTTTCTATTGTTCGATTGCCGATGCGCAGCACCGGCGGCTTGCTGGTGAGAAAGAGCATCGATCAGCTCGCTCGCCGACGAAACTGAAAGCAAATTTGCCGATTTCGGACGAGGAGGGGGGTGGGTAGGGATAACAAGCGGAAAGCTTGAAAACGGGGCGCCACCATTGCTCGGTAGGGAACAGTGTTGTCGAGAGGGCCACGGTGGAGAAATGCGGAAAATCGAGGGATTCGCCGGAGGAGAGTCCTCGTCGGAAGGATATGAAATGCCGGGACGATGAGAGCGAGACGAAGTGACAACAAGGGTCGGACAGAAACATCGAGCTCGGGGAATCCACTCGAGACCCCAACATCCCCACTGAGACAACTACATAGAAGAACAGCGCCGATGCGACGGCAAGCCTGGGAAGGCGGCAGAGAAACACGGAAAAAATTGAAGTCGTTGACAAAGTGCCGGAGAACGATGGAACGAACGTCTGATGTCGCGGAAAACGAAGTCCCGCGACACGTTTTTCTTCCTCTCCGCCGTCGCGTCGTGTATGTCGATGGATGTATGTATGTTTCTCTAGGAGCCCAAGGTTGCGACAACCGGCCTCGGAATCCTCAGTCTAGACCGGGACGATCCGAGAGCCGGGAAAATGAACAACCAGGCAAACAAGCAGAACTCTGCGACCCGAGCCGAGAGACGAGACTTGGAGCAGAGCCGTTCAGGGGTTTCGGAGCACCGGATCAGCGCAGCCGACCGAGAAGTTGTCTCAATTTTTTCCTCAATAATCGGAGAGAAGGAACAACAGCGATGGCAGCATAGGCGGGTTGACGGTTCCTCCTTCGCGCGGCGGCAGCAATAGATTACCTTCGCTCATTTTTTCAGAGACACATTTTTTTCTTCGTTTCTCTCTGATAGACATTTCAATGATGACGCCCCTCTGGACGGACGGGCTAAAAGCTCAGATAATGCCGGATAAGGAGAGACGTGCGCTTTCACTGCGGCCGTCGTCACAGCTGCAGCAGCAGCCGCATCAAAGATAACAGTCTCACACGGAACCTTCAGAGGAGGAGGCGGCAGCAGCCGAAGTTTGTTGGAGGCTTTAGAGCCGAAAAAGAAACAACCAACACCGGATCGAGGTAGCGTGGTACGAATAACTGATGCGGGATTTCGGAACGATGCTCAAGCCGGCTAGACAGATACCAATGAAGATGTAAACGTCATAAAGGAAGTTAAACGACCCCTGTTTAAGCGCCCGATGGCCAATCAATAAGAGCACTGGGCAGACGTAGCAAAATACCGAGCGCTTTAAGCTCGTAACTCAAATCGAAGGACTCTAGTCTGACCGTCTCTGTTCCAAAATATTTCTGAACATATTTCGCTCGAGAAGAGCTGCGCCTATCATTCGAGTTGAGGCTGTGGGCAACGTGGAACAAATGACACATTCCGCAGAGTTTCCCGAGAGGGTAGAGAGGGAATGCTGCGACGAAATATGTACCGTGGGATGCTCCCTCAATTTCAGAAACATCAGGAAAGTGCAGCAGAAAGTCCTCGATGCCTGTTCGCTACGTTTGACGTCAACAACCGGAGAGCTTGCGAGCCCCGCACATTAAAATACACTTACACGCCAGCTCTCGAGCTTTACTCTCGTCGAAACCCTCCCCGGAACTTTGTGCCGTTGTGTCGCTATCTTTTGTCTCTGGCTTCCGCTTATTTCTCTTACTCATCGGGATGAGGGAGCTTCATTCTCGTCAAGTAGTTCACCGACGACTCCGCTTTGGAGATCGAAAAACACAAGATCAGAGTGACGGCCGGGTCGTGCGCACCGACAATCGCTCCATGAGAGAGCGAAACCGAGAAGTAGCGAACATAACTGAGGGAGCTGTAGAGCAGAGGGGGGAACGAGACGATCTGAGCGTCCATGAACGTACACCCCTTCGCCGATCATCGAGAGCGAAGGAGAGGAACCGACTGGGGCGGCTTGAGAGTCGCGGGTCTGCTCACTCCCTTGCTCCTCCGATTGGAAGATAGGGGAATCGTAGAGAATGAAATTCTCTCCGAAACGAGATGATTCCCTCACGATCGAAGTCCTTCCATCGACCATTATTGCTTCTGTCCCAATCCTCGCTCTCATTTTCGGCTGCTTTTCCGTGGCGGGTGCTGGCCGTTTAGAGCATTACCGCGCCGCCGTATTCTTCTCCAGCTCAGGCTCCGTTCCGGGCGCCGAAGGCCCACGAACGTGCTCAGAGACTGTCTGGCCAATTTCGAATGAGAAGAAACACGAGGAGAAAACGAACAATTCTAGAGAAATAATCTTTTTTCCGTTTCAAGGCTGCATTGAAAGGGCGGACTCTGACCGCGAGACGGGCGAAGCGCGGATTCATCGAGTTCCAGCGCTTGGCGGGAGAACCTTTGGGGAGGGAAAAGAGCAGGATAGGTTTCCGAGGGGCAGCGAGTACGAAAACGAAATCGTGGTCCCGGGGACGGGGAGTTCGCCCATCCAAGGACATGACTGGAGCTTTTGCTCTGACTTCCAAGGAGCAGATCGCGGCGCGCCTGGACGAACGTACTTACCTTCTTAACGGTTCCGTGGTTAGTTCCGAGGAAGGCGACGCTATGCTGTTGCGTGATTGTCACGACGACGGCGGTGAGCGTAACACCTTGCCACGTAGCGGCGGCCTGAGCACGTATGGGAGCACTGCCATTAACTTTCAGCGTCTCGTTACAGAAACTGTACACATTTCCGCTTTTCTGTAAAGAAAAAAGATCGACAGGTTAGGAAAGAGTGGAAATCTGGAATTTACCGAATCTGACGGTGACCTGGGAATAAGTAGTCCCGAGCACCCTTCCACGACTAAAGTATGAAGTCTAAAACAGGACGGGAAGAGCGAATCGCAGCCGACAGTGGGTCACAGTCGTCCCGGAACAGTCCCTGAATCTCCTCTTGTTTCGCCCGTCGGGGAGATCTTTCGATAGTCGTGTCAGCTTCCTTTCCTTCCCCCCTCCCTCCCATCCCCGAAAATCCCGAACCGAGGCGGCGCGAACCTCTTTGGCTCCAGTGACCCCTGATGCCCCGAGCTTACTCGATGCTCCTTCCTCACGTCTGATGTGTCCGAGACCTTATAGCTCCCTCGGCTCGCTCGCAAACTCTCGACCGTGTGGCTGCCGAACTATGTCCACCAGGGAGAAAAACGTTTGAGTAAAAATCATTTTCGCTCCTCGGATGCCTGCTCGGCTGACTGCCCGCAAGCTCGCCCGCCTGCTGTGTCGGATTCCCGAGGCTTCAATCCAGCGAGGCAAAGAACGAGAGTAGCGGCGCGGCGTTCGGTCCGAGGGTGGGGTGGCTCTTTCACAGAGGTCACCAGGGGCATTTTATTGAATTTTTACGATTCAGCTCCCCCAAAATTCATTCATCCGTCCGTCCGCTTCATCGCCCGCCTCCTGACGGCCCGCTGGTTCCGGATCCCCTATAGGTCCATTCCCATCATATATGTATTCATTCTTCCACGCTCGTCTCGTTTCTCTGTTCGTTCGTCTGTTCGTAGAGTTCGTGTGCTCGCCCGGTCGGTCGAGATTGGCACGCATCCGGAGTCCGCAGTGACATCTCCGCAAATAAAAAGATAAGTATTTCACAGGGAAAAAACGAGACGCAGCTGACCGCCGGCTCCCGAGCACCGGCAGCGCGGGATTTCGATCAGCCGACAGCGGCCGAGTGACTGGAGTCCCGTTGCAGTCCGGTGTGCGTTGGAAAAACGCCGTAAAGTCGATGCCTGAGGCATGTCGGCCGAACAAGTTTCTATGGCGTGCAGAACGAGCGGTCAAGGGAGCTAACGAGTGAGTGAGCGGCTCTAGGCTGCTGCCCGAACATACGGCAGTCCTCTCGCCGCGTGTGAAAAAATTTATAATTCTTCACAAGAATCTTCCAACACCGAGCGGCGAGTGATGGCGGCGGCGGCGGCGGCTCGTTTCCTGCGAACTTCATACGCGTTCATACCCAATGTTTAAGAGCCATACTCTCCAGCCCCCTCGCTCACCCTGCGTAAGGACGGGGGGCTGCGCGGGACGGTGGAAGTCGATTGGACGCTCGAAGGGGAAAAGAAGCCGAGCGATGGATAAAGCAGAGCGGACGAGCGAGCTGACGGCCGCTCCATGTTCCTCCTCGTTCAGGCAGTTTTCCTTGCCGCGTCCGTCGCCGGTCGCTTTTAATATAGAAAGAGCCGACCGGATGGCCGCCGCCGCCGCCGCTTGGATGGCAAGCTTGAAATCCAGCCGACATAAAAAAGCTACCGCTGCTCGTTCTCTGTCTCCATCTCACACTGTACCGTCGTCGTTCGTTGCCTTATGCAGACGGACAGCGATTCAAATAGGAGAACACCGGCCCGAAGCTCACGTGGCGGCCTGTAGAGGGCCTGTTGCACGAATTCAGGAATGAGCTCGAGCGGCGCCCATTCCGCTGCCCGCTGGCGCCTAATCGTCCTGTTCTATTGCGGCGGTGAGGCGTGTTCGGGAGCAAACCGTTCGCCTTCAGTTTCTCGCACGTCGATTCTTCCCGTATCCCATTGAAGATCGACGGCGGGAGAGACCTGTTTCCACCAAATGAATAACTAAGTAAGTCTCCCATGTTGCTCCCACCCTACGTGCTGAAAGTGGGATTCGACCCAAGCGTTCGGTGGAATCGCCGCGCCGTCGTACATCCACGGTGTGAAGTTCGTGATTGCCGCTGCGCGTTCGCTCGCTATAACTTTCTTCGTGGGGTTTGTTAGTTGTGCTCGTCGTCGGGTGCAGAAAAACGCGAGAAGACGAACTCCGTTCCCTCGCCGCGGCTCTCAGCAGGCCAAAACTGCGCCGTCCTTCGGGAGGAGTCCACGTAAAAAACTCATTTCAAGTGATGGCACCGCGAGGCCTAATTATGGAATGGAGTGCGGCTTGCCGACCTGGCTGCTGGGCGGCAGCCAGCGAGCCGGCCGGACGCGTAGCCGGCTGTATGTAAATAGTCTCTCTTATATGACGTCGTCGCGAGGCAACGTAAGCTTTTTTGCATCTCCATCATATATGCTCGTGCACTTGTATGCGAACGTGGTTTTCTCTTCCAGCGTATGATGATGGGTAGGCCGCTAGTTTCATCCATTAAAATTAAGCTAACATAAAGCCTGCAGGACAGCAGCAGACGGCTTGTTTTTCTCCAGCACACGCGGGATTATTACCGCAATGACCATCAACACCATGAGTGGATAGATCATCAACGACGCGCGGGGACAAACAAGGCAACGTCGACTAATAAGCGCACGGCGCTGCCGAGGGCCCACGCGAGAGCGCACCGTGTGCTCGAGGAGACGCAGAGCCACCGAAGTCGTCTTCGGCTCGAATACGTTTCCGATCGTCTGTCCGAGCGAGCGTTCGTTGCCTACAATCGAATACTAATGCAGTGGATACATCATATCATATTTATGGTAATCAGCGAAGCCGGATCGACCGGCCCATCGACTGTGTCTCCAAACAGAAGCCCAGATCTCAGCGAGCCGCCCTGCGATATGGATGCCCGGCAGGATTCACACTCAAATCCTACGACAGCGCTATCCCTCATTCGATCGTGTACCGGTCGAGCCGGCGGGCATCAAGGGAACGAGGGCGGAGACCGCACCAGCCGCACGAACAGCGTCATCACAGCCGCATCAGCAGCCACCAACAGCAGAAGTGAGAGTGATAGATACATACGCATAGAGAACAGAAAGAAGAAAAACCTGTGACAGGTATTGGAAAAAGAACGTCAGACAGAGAAAGGAACCAAGCCAGCCAGCCGAGAAACAGAAGCCACGGCGGACGGTTTCGCAACAACGCGCTCGCCCCACGGAGTCTCTCGGCGCAAAGTCCGCGATTGCGTCTCTCTGCGACTGCTTCCGCGCAACAAAAGTTAGCATTTAGCGTGGAGGAGACGGTCCACGCTCCGCTATGCGGTGCAATGGAGGAGCGAGCGATGTTCTGCGAAGTTTCAGAGGATTTCCGAGCGGACGCAGAGCCATAAATATGGAACACGCATCTCTTCAGTTGGAATCCGATTTTTTTCTCTTTCGACTTCAAGGCATAGCGGTCATAAAACGTCCGGTTGACAGATACGCGTAGAAGCAGAGTCGAAGTGAACTGAATTCGTATGGAAGCGAGACCCTTTGACGTTCCAGCAGGGCCGTATCATACGAAGACGACGACGACTTCGTCGACATCAACAACAAAAAGCCCCCGAAGGCCTTGTCCGAGGACGGACGGAGAACAGGGACAAAGTGGACGCGGGTAGACCGGGGGCGAAGACGCCATGGGAGAGAATCAGATAAAAGTTGCAAATAAGCGACTTTCTCGAGCGTCCGTCGCAGAATTACGATGTGTCGGTCGCGTAGCTTCGCTAGTGCGGTTGTAGAAGAAATTGTAGTTGCGGTGGTGGAGGCACGACCGGGTGGAGGCAGCAGTTTGTGGTGGTGGTGTTGCTACTGCTGCTGCTGCTTGACGCATTCTCGGCTTGAGCTCTCTCATTACACGGTTGAACATTCGACCGTTCGCTCGCGAGGCCAACAATAGAGATTTCCATGGAGTTTTCTTTTGGGCCCAGGCCAAGCACGAACGAATCGTGAAATCGTAGTCGTTGTACGCATTCGGGAAAAATGCAATCAACGACTACGGCTCATATCACGACGACAAGCGGCAAACTTTATTTATAAAATAATAAAGCGGAATAAATTCTCGCCTCCACGTTTCGCACCCCATCAGAACGGAGAAACCGTCCGACACCCCGCCAAAACTACGAGCGGGAAAAGCGGAGCGAAAACTGCGAAGAACATGAGACCGTAAAGAGCACCCCATAAGGCGCCCCGGGAAAATTGAGGCATGGGCGCCGGGTTGCGACCGCTTCAATTTTGAGGAACGTTACGCGCTAACGGTTTTTCTCCTACGCCGTATCGTAGCCATCTCGCACCCATCATCCAGAGCCCCGTCGATCTATCTATCCATCGGCGTCGCTTCAAATGTACGTTTGTAAATGTGGGCTGAGGGGACGGGGCGGCGTTAACATTCCCAATGGAGATAAATACCGACGGGAACGCCGATGGCGGTCTCGAAGGGAGGAACGGCGTTCCCTCAAGTGAAAAACATCGGCTCCACATATAGCTCGCGGATGTTGAAGACCTCGATGACGGAATTCTCGCCGTATTTCAAACGACAACGGAACGAGGTCGAGGTCTGGGGAGAACTCCGCTCGAGCGCGATTCGCTAAAGGGTATCGCGGCTCACACCGTCCTCCCGAGTTGAATTCTCCCGCCGTCAACCTTCGCAGTCGCTCCGCGTTCAGAGTCCCCCACATCGCGATCGAGTGATGTAGGAAGAGAGATAGTCGAGCGAAAAATACGGAATTCCGATTCCAGGTCGGAGGAACCCAATGCTGTGGTCGGCATCCGTAGCGGTAGAGTTGATTTTCCGCCGTTTACAAGCGCCGAAACGACGGGGAGGATGTCGAGGACGATGTTGGTCACGACGGCAGAAACAACATCGTCCTTCAATACACACTTCCGAATCCCGTGCTGTGGCTTTCATCGAACGAACAGCATTTTATTACCTGGTCGAGGGCAGTCCCGTTCGCTTGTCGACTCCGTTGCGAAGTTCGTTTCCTCGTAAAGCCTTTGTGGTGCTGCTCATGATGATGATGATGACGGCGACTTGTTCCAGCGCGAGTGTTTCGAGTCGAGTGGAAGAATCAACACAACTCGAAGCCACACAACTCAGCTGGCGGAGGCGTCCCGAGCGGACCGTTGGGTATACACCACTCGAAGATAGAGCTAGCGGAGGACGGTGAGCGAGCGAGAAATAAAGTAGGCAAGCGGAGAAGCTACCTACGTTCCAGCCGCAGGGCAGGAGATATTCGCTCCAACTACTGGTGACCACGACTTGTCGCTGCTAGTGGCTCCGAGTGGAGTAGTATTGCTGGCAGCGAGAGTCGAGGCGCTGGCGGTGTTTGTGCCCCTGTCGGACGGTCGGCCTGCGAGCTGGCTGGCTGGCTGGCCGGCCGGTCGGCCGGCCCGCCGACAAACCGCTCGTATGATATACAGGGCCCAGGGGGACACATACTACATGCAGCAGACGGGCAGAGGAGTTGCTTCTCCGCCGTTCGGCATGGGAGCCACTCCCATGATCATCATCACCGTGTCGCTTGTTTTGTCTGACTGACCGGATGGCGAGCCACTTGCCGAGCCACCGACCGGCGAGCAAGGAACAACTCGAGGAGGAGAAGTGGCGCTAACCGCGCGCGCGATACGAGGAACCGCGCGCTTGTATCCGAGGCAAGTGAAGAGCGAGACGCATGGGCTACAACAGGCCCCGTGACGAGGGGACTGAGAGCCAAAAGACGGGTGCCAGGGGGAAGAGAGGCAGGCCGGCCGGCGGGCGGGTGGCCGTACGTATGAACGCTTTGGGAGCGGGACAAAGCGGACGAAGAGACAAGCACGCGGAGCCATACCGAACAATCCATGAGCATCCGATGCCGATCCCACGTTCCTCATGGAGAAGACCTATGTAGTCTCGCCAGAAGAAAAGCATTTGTGCTCACTCGGTGAGGGGGCTTTTGTGTTTGTCGACAGCTACGTGTTCTCTCGCGCCTACCGACCACGATAAAAGATAAGAACGTCGGCCACTACAACACGCGAGTCTTTAGCTCCCCCTGTCGCTCACTGGCCACTGTCCCGCTCACTCAGTCCACCAGAGCCCAGCGTAGCCGTACCCACTTTTCGTCCCGGGTCTCGCTCGTTCCATGTTTCCAAGGAAGGTCGGCTCCAGAGTCTTGGCGGCTGACCTCTTGATGGTGACCGCAACGAGGTGCTCTTCCGCAAACAACCGACGCTTAATGAGAGTGTAGTCCTCCTCGACGTTTTCCGAGATGCTTAGCGAAGCGGTCGTCAGACACGAGCACGAAGAAACTAAGCGCAACACAAGAATTAAACAACTCGAGCGAAACGAACACGCTCGTGCTCACGAGGCTCGCTCCTCGAGAGCGTCGGCTTTCCAGATTAAGCTACGGCACGATGGTATCAAGGCCTCATTAGGGATTTCGTTTCGGTCACTCGCTGAAAAACGCGACCGGCTCCCGAGACCCTAGGCGTACATATCGACTCGGACGATGGGATAATGAACTCCTCGCGACCGACCGAGGTCAGATTATCATTCGACGTTCCGCGCGGCTCATACCTAAAATGTAAAGTTGAAAACTCACCCCAGGGGCAGGACAGTCTGCCAGACTGCCGGCTACGTAATCCATATTCCTCGTAGCCACGGTTCCGTTGTAGCACATATGGATGTTCTCGGTGAACATTTTCTCAATTTGTCGGAGGGGGTAAAGACACACAGCTGATTTTCCACTAGGCTTCGTGGTGTGGTCTGCACTCTGGGCGAAAACCCCCACGAACACCCTTCGGTCGTCGCGAAGCCCGAGGAATCGGGCGAGATCTGAGCCTACCTCAACGAGAGTGGCGTCCTGCAAAAGATTGTAGTCCGTGCCGTCGTGACCTCGGCACTCGAGGCTGACCTCGGTGTACGTGTTGAAAGACGGATCGCCCGCACAAAGTCTGGCCAGACGCGAATTGAAGCCGAGCTCTTGAAGCGACAGCAGATGGCTGCGCATCTGCACCGTGGCGAAATAGACGTAGTCGTCGGTATGAAAACCGTAGACGTAGTTGACGAGATAGTAGTCCTTTACCGACGTGTCCAGATCGACCCGAGCGATCGTCGAGAACGATTGCTCCAAAATACCGAACAAGTCTCCTTGGCCTTCGAGACTTCTCCCCGATATCGCGGGTCGGTGGTCGCCGTACGTTCCGTAGCGCGTCCTCGTCGTAGCGACGTAGAGCATACGTTGATTCCCGACTGCGAATTTCGCAGGTCCGATCATGGCGAACGTCGACGAGTTCTCGTCGTTGGTCGCCACCGGATAGTTCACTAGAGGTTCCTTCTTGACGATGTTGCTCAGGTCCATGCGCTGGCATGCGCCCTGATGCGTGCTCCCGCACACGATCAGCTTTCCGTTTTCGTCGTCGATTAGAAGCACTTTGTTGATGGTGTTAATTTGACGTAGCTCGATACCTGTCGCTTTACAATTGCTGATAGGGCACTGTTCGTTATCGAACTCGGGACCGGTGGCAACACTCCGAACCAGGGTTAGGTTCTCATTGAATTCCATCACGAGGTTTGTGGCGCCCGCAAACAGGTGCCCCGTTTGCGGGTTGATTATGACGTGCGTCAGATTGACGGAGTGGTTGCCGGGAAGACGGTATTCATTGATGAGGGTATCGGGTTGAACGGCAGCGGAAATTTGCACAGCAAATATGCTCAACAACGCACTCCAGATGAACAGGTCGACCGGACGTCGACGCCAAGGTGATTTTAGGTGCGTGTCGGCACCCCATCTCCGCGAAGTCATCGCGGGGACCGTGGTGAACCTCATCTACGACTATCACCAGGTCTCATGGCTGGCGCTCAGGCATTTCGCGGTGAGAGTTTCCTGCAACAGAAAAAAAGCAGATCCGTTAGTCTAGTAGAGAATGAAAACATCCAATGCCACTCTACCCACTACTTCATCGACATGTCCCGGGCTGAGCAAAATTTCTGCTCTCTTCGGCGGATCGAGGCAGGAATTTGGCGCAGGATGTGTTTGCAGCACAACGTCCGGGAAGAATTATTGCTCATCCGATCAGATGAAGAAGCGAAGGGGGAGTCGTGCGATCTTCTCGCCTCTCCGTAGAGCAACCGAGCCAGTTGAGGGCTCCAGTGATGGGGTTGCAACGTACTATTGAAAATGTAATCATCACTCGAACAGAAATGGTTGAAAGGAGGCAAAAGGGAAAAAGCGCGCGAACAAGGAGGGAGATCATCGTCGTCATCATCACGATCGTGGCGGCTACCGCCGAGGCCGTTGTTGTTGCTGATGATGATGATCCGGAGAGAGATATGGGACGCGGAAAAAATGCGATCTGGACTCCTCGCAACGCGGCGCGCTGCAACAGGAGTTCGACCTACGAGGGGACCTTATTACATGCCGCGCAGCGACTTGTGGCGGAGGCACCTCCGGGAAGTTCGTCCGGCGGCACTCGAACGACCGGCGGGCGGCACTCGGTGGCCAGCTCGGGCAAGGCACTTGGCTGCCGATGTCTCAGGGTCATCAGAGCGTGAAGTTAGCTTTGGAGGACCACTGGACTCCTGACCGACCGAAGGACGGACGAACAGCGTTCCTCACTTGGCCACCATCGCACAACACCGCTTGAAGCGCGCCGGGGGCCGAGAGCCCCACGCGATAAAACTCTGGCTGTTACTTGTCGGAACGTAAGCGGTCGATTGTATTCAGGGCCTGCGGAGCGGCACCGGCCAAGCCTTCCACGGAAAAGAGGACGAGGACCGTGGTCGGCACCGTGGACAACGATATGGGTCGCCTCGGCTCCGAAAGATTGCCGCAACTTTTTTTCTGTCGCCAACGCGTTTCACCGACGCGTTCGTCGTGGAGCGCGCAGCTTGCTCTCGAACCATTCAGCCCCATGTGCCATTTCTCAATTTTCTCTCTTTTTCTCTCTCGTCGGCACAGGAGCGACCTACGGCCTTCCTCAATTGAGTCGATTTGCTGGGACAGGCCCCCGGTATGTAAATGGCGAAAAAGAAGTCGAACGATGATTCGATAGATGAGCGACCAGTTTAATCAAGCCAACTCAATTAGTCCCGACGACCCATCTCTCCGGTGGAATCTGTTTCCCGGACAACGTCGGCCAGAGCCTCATCGCGTGCGTCTCTTAAACGCTCTCCAAGCGGTACAATTCCTTATCGCCAAGCCCATGGAGCACAGGAGGAGAACGAATTCGGAGATAACGAACAACAACATTGGACATCTTGAGGAGCTCCGACGAGCTCGTTTCGGGCTCCGGCTCCTTCGAATTCCCCGGTGGGAGACCCGCCGAGCGTGGACCTCGGGAATACGGGGATGCACCGGAAGGAATCGAAAACTTCTAGGCGGGTGTGGGCGGGAGACTTGCGGGAACACCCGAGTCATTTGGCGACCTTGGATGCCCTCGGGGACAATTCGTCAAAATAAGAGCAGCGCCGAATAAAGGTAGATAGCCTTGCATACAGACAGTGTAGTTGGTTCGGCGGCGAGGAAGCGTATGAGTAGAGAGGCGTCCTTCCTCGCAGCCAAACTACCGACACAGAGAGAAGAGGCGAGTGAGACACGCTGAATGGAAAAGCAATCCATCGTCCAACGCTAGCGTGCTCCTCTTCCGAACAAACATCAGCCCCAGCGGAAGCGAGCGTCGCCTTCAGGAGCATGCCGTGAGCCCCAAGAGCGCTGCTCTACGCCAGATCTCCCGAACACCGCAGACGCCGCCGAGGGAACATCATTTTTCCAGGGCTCTCTCAGATTAACAACTCTCCCCCATGCTTCACTTCACACCGGGCTCCTCTATGTTTCGAGAGTTTCCGTTCCACTCGTTCATGTGCTGAGCAATCCTCTGACTGACTGAGAGTCGAGCATTCATACACAGCTTATATCGAACGGTCTCTCAAGAGAAGTATCTCCGCCTACTATCGATGTCGATACATCTCTAGTCGCCGTCGTACGTTTCCGCCCTCCGCGCACATCTTGCAGAATCTGCGGAAAGTCATTCAGCGAGCCGCCACCCGTCGGCGTCGGACAGACACTCAGTCAGTGCGCCGATCGGTCTTCTGTTTTTCTTTCGTCCGTTTTCTCAGGCCCTTCCTCACGTCCACAAGTGAAGTCAGTAGTATGAGCCCATGTATGCTATAACACTTATCGATCGGGAAGACGGTCGGTCGGTCAGTCAGTCAGTTCGTCCGACCACTCAGCCCCAGCCTCTGAGTCGCGAGTATCCGATGAAGGCACCGGGTCCCTCTCGTATCGAACGGAAATCGCACCAGTCGCCAGTTTGGCCCGGTCATCTTCCTCTTGTCCTCGGCTGGCTCTTTCCTCCGCCGTCATTCTGTGCGCCTTTGGCTCGACTCGGCTCCCTTCTCGGAGACGTGGCTCCGAGAGAATCTTTTGCTTCAGGGTTCAACTTGCCTTGTGCTCGGGAACGGGTCCAGTTGGAATTAGACATTGAGCACATATATCTCCTGAACAGGCCTTCTCCGGCTGCGGGAGGTGAAGGAAATGGAAAGAGGAGCTCAAGGAGAACGTCAGGAATATCTTCCCATGCTCCCTCAGGATTCTCGAGATGGCGATAAAACTCCTCTCATCGGCATCCGATCCGAAAATCGGACCCAAATGGACTCAGGAGGAAGAAGGAGCGTTACGATGTGTCCGATTTGTTGACTCAAGCATTCATGAAACCATAAAAGCGAGCCATAAACGAGAGATGAGCAGCGAGTGAGCGCTTAGGCCACTTACACGATTCGATTCCCGCGATGACAAAAAAATATCTCCTAGATCCCTCATGGAGCTCGGACGGGTCGCAAGCGAGCGACGGGTCTGAGCCTCACTCGAGACCTGACAACTTTGACGATCAACACCGAAACACTATAATCCGCAACGACGAAACGCCGCCGTTGACAAAGATATCCGAAACACTAATTGTTCGGACGATTTATCATAAGTCCCCTGGTGACAAAAGTCAGCGACTGCATTACGGGTGAGAGGCTTCGAACAATGTGACGAACAGACCAGCTCAATGAGCGACGGACCCAAAACGTCACTTTCAGAAGTTGAGTGAGCCTCGGAGCTGACACGGTTAACCCGCGACACGGCAGCTGACTGGAAGAACAATCTAATCGACAGAGCGGCCGAAGATCCCCAGGTCTCTAGTGCTCGATCCCAGCTGGCCTTGGCGAGACAGCTCATGAACTAGGAGATTTTCCTTGAGTCTGACGTGGAACGTGGTCCGGGGTCCATTTTGCTCTCTCACGATGGAGCTCCGACTGCAGTCGATCGGACCGAATGAATGATGGCAAGTCGTTTCAAGCTTGGCGTTCGAAGAAATCCGTCCTTTAACGGAGCTTCTGTGGGGGAAAATAATTCTTCTGTGCCCTATTCGAATCACAGAGATGGCTCGGATAGGATCGTCGATCGTACTGACGTTGGGGACGTGTCCGTGAATCTCGCCAATTATTTTCACCGAACAGCATCGGGGGTCAGAGATAAGAGTTTCTGTTTATCGTGGACTGTTTGGCCAGTCGGCTTGCTGTCTTTCGCTGCCGACTCAGGTGGCATGCCTTGCTTCAGTTCCGCTGGCTGTTGTTGTAATTACGGTTCGCTCTTTTCTACTTCTCTGCTCCGCGCTCACCTCCTGTTCCGTGCCGCATTCCTTCTTGTCATTGAGAGCAGCGTCGGAGGCGACAACAGCGGCGGATCCATCATAAATTGAGATATATCACTGATTATCATCTTGGATATGTGGAGATTGACGCTCCCAAAGCTCAAGAGAAATCATTTAAGAGCAGATGCCGTCCGACGATGTCTATCTCCATGGGATACGATGAGGGCAACTTTAGTCTCTGGTTTCTCATTTCTTCCATCTGAGTGCTTTTCCTATTTTTAGACGCGCAGTAACGACACGGCGGCATTGGCGCACCATTCCGACAAGGCGAACTAATTCTTCATCCTCGACTTCCAAGAAAATAATTAGCAAAACTCTCGGATCAGATATCGGGCTCGAACGCAGGATGAATCCGTCGCTCGATCGACTGCTCGACCGACGCCGAGACGCTTCAGGAGGCGAACCGATGGACAGGCAAAGCCGGCCGGAAAAGTTTTCTCGGCATCGTTGTTGCGGTCGTTGTTGATGAAGACGCGGAGGCCGCCAACGCTGCTGGTGCTGCTGTTGTTGTTGATGATGTGAGGAAGACGAGAGACTTGGGACCACCGCAGCACAAACAAACACACATTCGCTCATCAAGACGTACTCAAGCGTTTATTCGGAGCGACGTCAAACGAAGCTCGAAAAGCCACTTGACCTGCGTCCGACTCCGCATTGGCACAGCAAGCCGAGAGCTCCAGTCAGCGATCTCGATAATAATAATTGTAGACCCTACAAGGATGGAGCATTCTTCGCTGAATTACGCAACGGAATGATCAATTGCTCTGCGATAATCTCAGAGGGTCCAGCCGACCTTCCGCGAACCGCCCCGCTCTCGAAATTGGTAGCCGGACTTACTCCCTTGCGAGATCGGAGCCGATCTCGTTCGCCGCTTCCTTGGTCCCCCATATTTGCTCGCGGAGCCGGAGCCGCGCCTCGGAACAGCACAAAGGCCGGTCGGAGCGAGCAAGTTTAATCTCGGTGGAGTCCAAGGCCTTATCGGGCTGTGCGGTCGTGCCGTCAGTGAGCCCTGATGACCGTTCTCGTAGAGCTGTGGCTTTTTGCCAACAAAACTCATTTTTCTCTCTTCGGTCCCCACGGTCCCGCTTGGCCTTCCCACGCTCGCCTC